AATTAAAGAAAATGAAAACTTGGGAATCGTCGGTTAACCTTGGATGCTCAAACGGGTTCTAGGTTGGAGAACTAAGGTTCAACGATGTGAAGAGCTTCAAATGCAAAACCTAGAACTCCAAGAATTTTTAAGCGCCGCCGAGAAAATAAGGAATATTGCGTAAAATCTTCTAGGAGAGAACCCAAGGATTGAAGAATTTGAACCCAAACTTTAGGAAGTGGGATTGAAAAGCACTTGAGGATGGAAAAATCAAACCCGAAAACCCATAAAAAGGATTAAAAAAGACTGATAGACGATGAACTAAACCCAAGAACACTAAGAACACCAACCCGGAAAACCTAGAAAACGCAATGACTAAAAATCAACAAATCAAGCCTTTTGCGTTAGATTTTCACTCCTCTCAACCTAGAATTCCTCTCCTTCTAATCCTTCCTTTTCTCTATGAAATTAAACCCGTTTTATAGGCGAAACTTCTTAGAATCGAATCTAAATCCCAAAATTTTCTCGTCAAAATATTTCCTCTTTAATTCATGATTAATGTGAAATCAAAATAAGAAATTTGATCATTGCTTTTCGTTAGTATTGATTTTGGCAACGAATCCATGATTAATGCACAATCAAAACAAGAAATTTGTGAAGGATTTGGGCAAATTCTCTCAAAGATTTTCGGAGAGAATTTGCATTAGAGTGGACGACGAGTCATCTTCTCCATTTTGATCCTGTCGTTCATTCCAAACTTTTAGTTTGGTCCTCGTGCATTTCAAGTCTAGCAATCACGCCCTTCGATGGTACAATTTCGGTCTTCATAAAGTGCAATCTTATCAATTGGATCCCTCATGCATTCTAGCAAAAAAATAATAAGAATGACAAAATTTTAAATATAACCACAAATAAATCAATAAATCAATAAAATTCAAAAAATAAAATGAAAAAAATAAATATAGAAGATACAAAAAAACTAAACCTATGGCCTAACTCTAGTCCCAGATGGAGTCGTCATTCCGTCGTTACACGACATCGGACGGGACTAGGAACTTGAAAATAACACTTGGTTCGGAGATTCCTAAGGTAAGGAGTTGGTTACGCTTTTAGGAAGATATTTAATCACCTAAAAGTGCGCTTTTTTTTTTTGAAAACAAGGTACCATGTATGGTTTAATCCTAAATTCATCTCTCGGAATTCCATGTCAAACTATTTTCTAATTTTTTAAACTCCCATTTTTTTTCAAAGTTAAGCTAAATTTTTATTTTTTTTTACTTTGAGCGTGGCATCGTATTAAAACGATCGTCGGTCCCTTTCATCGAGCGACAAGTCGGTTCAAACATCGGATCCACTAAAAGCCTTGACACAACCGATGTGTTGGAGGACGTTTTGATTAAAAGGAAATTTTTGATGACGTCGGTCCCTATCAAGTAGGAGACTTCGTCGAAAATCTTGAATATTCTTTTTGGTGACGTCGGTCCCTATTAGATAGGAGACTTCGTCAATTTATTTATTTATTTATTATTTTTTTTGGTGATGTGAATCCCTACTAAGTAGGAGACTTTGCCAAAATTTTTAGGCATTTTTTATGACGTCAATCCCTATCATATAGGAGACTTCCTCAAGATTTTTTATAATTTTTGTAACAATACATATTAAAGAAAAGAAAAAAATTAAAATAATAGTTCTAAATTAATATAAAAAAAACGACAAGTAATAAAAATAAGCGAGGCTAAAAAAAATAAAATAAAATAATAAAAAAAGATAGATGAATTAAAAAAAATTATTCTATACCTACACCATTAACCCCCAACTTATTTTTCTACCCATCCTTTTTCCTTCTTCTTTTTTCCCTTAATTTTATTTTTTATTTCTTTTTTATTACCCTTTCCCCCCTTTTTCTTTTTCTTTTTTTTGTTTTTAGAGAAGGCTAGAGTGGAACCAACCTTCTCATTTTATTTATTTATTTATTTTGGGCTTTTGAAGGGTGGGCTACGGTCGAACCCCCCTTTTTTGTTTGAATAAAGGGTGTGGGCTGGACCGAAATTAGTCCAGCCACATTTTCCTTCTTTTTTTTTTTTTGTCTTGTCCGCAATGAGTGAGGTCTGGGCTAAAATCAGTCCGGCCCCCTCTCTTAATGCCCTAACCGGGCTCAAGCCCACAAACGAGATCTAGAAAATTAAAGTTCCAAAAATTCGATCAAACACAACTCCCTAGCCACTCTCTCTCATGTTCTTCATGTTTATGACTTCTTCTCTCTTTTTCCAGTTTCCCTAGAATTAAAAATCCTAATTCCAAAGCAATGAACTCATTAACTCGAAATGTTTATACCTAGATAATTAAAGCAAATGAAAACTTGGAACTATCAATTAACCTTGGATGCTCGAACGAGTTCTAGGTTGGAGAACTAAGGTTTAACGATGTGAAGAGCTTCAAACGCAAAACCCGGAACTCCAAGAATTTTCAAGCGCTTCCTAGAAAATGAAGAACACCGAAGAACCAGTTCAACGCCGCCTAGAAAATGAGGAATATTGCGCAGAATCTTCTAGGAGAGAACCCGAGGATTGAAGAATTTGAACCCAAACTTTAGGAAGTGGGATTGAAAAGCACTTGAGGATGGAAAAATCAAACCCGAAAAACAACAAAAAGGATTAAAAAAGACCGACGGACGATGAACTAAACCCGAAACCCAAGAACACCAACCCGGAAAACCTAGAAAACGCGAGTGACTAAAAATCAACAAATCAAGCCTTTTGCCTTCGATTTTCACTCCCTCTCAACCTAGAATTCCTCTCCTTCTAATCCTCCCTTTTCTCTGTGAAATTAAACTTGTTTTATAGGCGAAAACTTCCTAGAATCGAATCTAAATCCCAAATTTTTACGTCAAAATATTTCCTCTTTAATTCATGATTAATGTGAAATCAAAACAAGAAATTTGGTTATTGCTTCTGTTAGTAGTGATTTTGGCAACGAATCCATGATTAATGCACAATCAAAACAAGAAATTTGTGAAGGATTTAGGCGGATTCTCTAAAAGATTTTCGAAGAGAATTTACATTGGAGTGGACGACGAGTCGTCTTCTCCATTTCGATCCTGTCGTTCACTCCAAACTTCCAGTTTGGTCCTCGTGCATTTTAAGTCCAACAATCACGCCGCCCTTCGATGGTACAATTTCGGTCTTCATAAAGTGCAATCTTATCAATTGGATCCTCGTAAGAAGCGATTTAGGTTCTAAATTTTTCACTTGGTTCAATTATACCCCAAATTACTTCAATTATATCTTTCTTTAAATGCAATTATGCCCCTGAATGAATATTTTTGTATTTTTTATCATTTTCTTTTTATTATTTTTGGTAAACTTTAATTTAAATAAAACAAAACATACATGAAATAAAAAATAAAAAAATAAAAATAAGAATAATAAAAAATAAAATAAAATAAAATAAAATAAAATAATAATAATAATAATAAAATAAAAAAAGAAGCAAATTTGGGTTATTACAATAGGCTAGCCTCGATTTTTGTGGGCCAACTCGCTTTAGGCAAAAAGAGATTCTCTTGTTGTGAGAGCCATAAGGAGACCAATAAGGTAAGGTCCATATTTTATGAACGACAAAAATTGTCTTAAATTATTACATTATTACATTATAATGAATTATCAATTTGAATTATTTAAATTTCAAATTATTTTTCTTGAACAAATGTTATTCTTTCACCATTATTTCTAATGGTCAAAATATTAGTTTAATGGCAAAATTCACCTCCAAACTACTAAAGACGTAGCAAAATAATATCTATGTTATCAATTTGAACTATTTAAATTTCAAACTATTAATTTTTTTTGATAAATTTTGTCCTTCTTTATTATTTCGACAATGAAACTATTGACTATTAACTAAAATGCTTAAAACGACATTGTTTTAAGCATTCCAAAATTTTTAAAAAAATTAAAATTAATTTATAAAAAAATTTAGAAATCATTTTTTTAATTATATGAATCCATTGTACATCATTAATTATCTAAAAATAAAAATAATATCTATAAAGAAAAACAATTATCTATGCTAAGCTAATATTATTAAATATTTTTTTCAAAATTAATTTAATTTTTATAATAAATTAATAGTAGTTTTTTTCCTAGATGGATCAATTACTCATCATTAGTTATCCAACAACAAAAATCAAATCCATAAACAATAAAATCATCTAGCTTCCTTAAAGCTAACTATTATTTTTTAAAAAAATTAATTCTAATTCTAACCAAAAAAAAAAAAAAAGCAGAATTGTCAATGTTTTACTTAAATATAAATTATATTTAAACTAAATCATTTATTCAAATTCAATATAAATTATATTTTACAATTTTACCTTATAGTTTGAACTTTCGAGTTCAAATAATTTTTTAACATGGTACATAATATTGCTAACAAAACAATAAAAAATTTCAATCTCACCACTCATAATCTCTCTTCTAATTAAAAAAACATAATAGTACAATATATGACAGAGTCTACGCAAATTTCGACGCTTAAATAAATTTTACTTCAAGTATAGTTTTCACTGCTATAAATATATGCAAGCCACTGCTTGCAAACTCACGTCTAAGTAAATTAAAACAAAAAACACTTTTGCTCAATTATTAATATTCAGTGTATCGAGCTGAGCATTTTCAGCAGACACAAAGCAATAACCCATTAACAATATATTGTCATATTGTCAGATGATACGATTTATATTATTCTTTAAAATATCTTCTCAACTAAAAATATTTTAAATTTAAAACTTGCATAGACTATATATATTATTTTGTATTTAATTGGTTAGAAGAAAAAATTAAAGGAATAAGATTCGAATTTTTGACCATTAAATTAATTAGGGTCTCATGCTATATCAAAAGATATTTTAACACAAAAACTTAAATTATTAGAAGAGATTACAAGATATAATTTATATTATTTTTCAACATATAGTTGAGTTACTATTAATGGAGTTTATTTGATTTATTCATGGAACCCACTGCCACCTCATCATCTCCTTCACGATTTAGGATGTTATTCCAGCAACTTTTCCTGCTAGTCCCCAGCTCCGAATATAATAATCCATTAAGAAGTGACATAACAACACCAGAATTGTTAGCCTGACCCGTTCATTAATTAATCGATTAAGTATAATGATTCCCAATCTTATTGGAATAAATAAAAGATAGCTGATTCCATTTCTTTTTCCTTTAATCAATGACACGGTGCTTTTTTTTCCTTATCATCATCTTTTCTCTTTTTCCTTTGTTACTTTTTGTGTGGGAATCAGAGACAATTTAAAGGAACAAAATACAAATAATAGTAAACAATACAAAAGGTATATTACTCTATCCAGAAGTAATTACTTAATTTGGTTACTTTCCAAAAGAAGTCTTCCTCTTTAGTCCCTATCCAATAGCTTATCAGTCCCAAGTTCCCCACCTTGACGTATTGGGATGATTTCATACCTTCGATCATTACTTCTGGGATACGAAAAGAACAAAGCATTAGATTGCCAGTTGTTGAGCATTTCTCTTTTCATTTAACAATGTTGTGAATATATATGAAGGTGCCTTGTATCTTTTGTTTATTTACAGAGTACTGACACAAGCCCTCACCAAGAAAAGCACAGTAGAGGTACAGATATGTCCAAACTAATGGGTTCTGAATGGTCAGGCATACTCATTACGAGACTTCTTCTCCTTACCTTTCTTCTTCTCTGGCAACTTGACACTGGGGCTACTTCCCAAAATGGCACTACGCCTGTTGAAGGTACAAATTAATTGATCTCTTATTCTTTCAAAGATGTTTGAATCTATATATATGTTTAGTCGTGTGTCTAGAATTGAATCCAACCGAACTTTAATTACTAATTGACGTAGGATAGAGCTAGAGCATGGAGATAGAAGATTAAAAACCTTCTATGAAATAAATTGATGAGAAAAAAATCTAAATTAGAGAGTAGTATAAATTTATGTTGTGTCGTCTAACTTAACAATATAAATTTTTGTATTGAATTAATGGTTTTTTCAACACTGTATCTAAGATTCTTTGGCTAAGTAATAAAGAATTTCAAACACAAGAAGTTTAACTCGAAAGATCTACCAGAAAATAATATAAAACCCTATTCTAAAATCTCAACTTATTTTAACTAATTTTGAATTGAAATAATTCTTTTGACACATTCAATACATCACTATTAACATTAATTTAGTTAAATTTCATGGATAAATAATAAATTACATGTGTGGTCCTTGAAGTTTCCAGTGCTGGTCATTTTAATGTATCCAATGTATTTATATTGCAAAGTTGATTGAGTATTTTTATATTGAACATAGTGGGATTTAATCAAAAGAACTTTTGTGTTGAAACCTTTGGCAGCGGATGCTCTTCAAGACCTCGTCAACAGTTTACGTACCAATGAGACAGAGCACGTCTTCTTGAATTTGAATTGTTCGAACGATGAGGACGCCGAGATCAAGTGTGATTGTGATAACAGCACTGAAGCCTGTTCCGTCACTCAAATGTATGCTCAAAACTTGATTATAAAATCAGTTTGTCATTAATAAAACAAAATACAACATAAATAAATAAATAAATAAATAAATAAATAAAAACCTCAAGCAAGTTTGCATGAAATTAACTGTTGAAAAATAATTCTCTCTACGTAAATGACTTAATTTCTGTGACAGAAACTTCAAAAGGAAACTATTGGATGGATACATTCCCCCTATTTCAGCCAGTTCTTTTAAAAACTTGAAATTACTGTAAGTATCATCACTACTTCTCATTGCATAAAGTTCCATATATACTAGTATATCCTTTGCTGTGCTTGTTGAGCTAAACACCCACAGTGGTCACCATTGATGAAATTGGGGTTCGATTATATTGCCACAACAGTAATCTATCTTACAATCAGCTTTCTGGTGGGATTCCTTCCTGGCTGGGAGATTTGCAGAGTCTCCAAATATTGTATGTTTAAGAAATGATTCGTGTTTCTGTATAAATGATGGCATAGGCTCTGCTTATTTCTAATGGTACAATGGCTTTGTGTAAAAATCAGGGACCTCTCAAACAATATGCTGACCGGGACCATACCGAGCCTGGCAAAGTTGCATCGCCTGAAAGAGCTGTAAGTCTGGCATCCTTTTCTTTTCACCAAAAAAAAAAAAGCTTCTCTAATGTTACTACAATGGTTTAATTTGTGCAAAACTCAGGGATCTTTCGAACAATATGTTGACCGGTTCTATACCTGATAGCCTGACAACGTTGGGTTGTCTACAATATCTGTAAGTCCGTCTTAAAAAACATTTTACAGCTTCAGAAGGATAAAGAATATTTAAGCCCTTATGTAATTTAAAGTCTTTTAATCATTGATAACTGATTTTAATGTGAGTTTAAATTTCAAACTTTTTTTTCCCTGCTTTTGGCTTTTGTATAATTTGCTACATAAAGCAAACTCTGCTTGTTCTTTATTGTATTATATTGTGTTCTCATATATACATTAACTTGATAAATTATAAACTAATAAATTGTTAGATTGAGAATTTTCAAGATGCGATTTATGAGAACTAAATATTTTTAAATTATAAAACTTCAATCAGTTAGGTATGAGCTGCTTCGTGTCCTACAGAACTTGATCATTTGAGTTTAAGAACAAATTGAAAAGTTTATTTTAAATTGTTTCGACTAAAATAAAGTTTAAATTAAATTTAAAATTAATTCGATTTATGTGACTGATTTTAGCCTCTTAATAATTACTATACAAATTTATTTCAATTTTTCAAATTATATTTAATTAAAACTAATTTTAAATACAATATAAACTTAATTCAATTTATTTACTAGATTTTAATCTTTTAATATTTAATACTATATTGTAATTTTCGAATAACTAACATAAATTTAAAGAATATGTTCAACAAAAAAGGAAGCATGATACCCTAAATAATTTTATAAGCTGTATTAATTTTAGAAGAAATGTTGGTTAGTAACATATAATAGTTTTTTTTTTTTTAATATGGGCCTTTATGATAGGCCCACATATTTGGGCCAGGCAGCCATTCAAGACCTTCTCTTTCCTCCCTTTCTCCCCCTCCCTCTCTGTCTCTCTTCCAGCGTACATGTACCATTTATTAAAATATAAATATTTAGGGGTCAATAATAGAGAAGTCAAAAAACTTAGAATTTTATAAGCTGTATTATAAAGAAAAGAAGTGATAATGCAGAATTCTTGAAGCTGCTAAAAACAGAGTCCACGAAAGGAATATATTTTTATTTAATTACCTTCAAAAATACCCTTGCCACTTCAAATTATGCTAGTCATTTTCTGACAGTATGATCCAAAAAGTTTTATTTGACTGTTTTATTACTAATATTCATGGAAGTAAATAACTCAATCCATTAAAATTAACTGAAAGTTTTTTCTTTTGGGACGTGGGGTAATTTCACCTGAACAGCTATCTTGAAGAGAACAATCTTAATGGTGCTATCCCTCATAACCTGACAGGTTTACAATCGCTCAAGCATTTGTAAGTCAATCCTTTGTATTCTATCTATGATTTAATATCTCTAATCTTGGCTATGTATATATATATATATATTCATTCGGATCTATGTGTCAAAAATCAGGTATCTTTCAAACAACAAATTGAGTGGGCCTATACCAAATAGCATAGGTGATTGTAAGGCATTGGTTCAAATGTAAGTCTCTCTCCTTACAGCAGCACGCTGATTAAAACTTCTGAGTCCCATATAACTTAATGTTTGTGCGATGCTAACAATTTTACTTTATATAAAAATATCTTCTTTTTTAGTACCATCATGCATCTATGTAAGATAATTCTAAATCCAGTATCTGTGAATCGTCCTGTCACAGCCGTCTTCGGTTCAACGTCCTGAATGATACTATACCTAAAAGTTTGGACAGAATTTCTTCCCTAGAATCTCTGTAAGAAACTTCACTACCATTTATTAAGTTGCATCATTAAATGGATAATTATATGCTTCTTGATTGCACTTACACATTATATCATTCAATTTGCAGAGATCTTTTTAGTAACTCCTTGTCAGGCCGTATTCCTCCCGAACTAGGAAACCTGCATGCTCTCTCCTTTTTGTATGAAAAATACACTCACCACTTCTTTTGTTTTTCATTTCAAGTGTACCATAAACTATCCACTTATTTGTATTTTTACCTTTTGAATAAAGGAATCTGGATGACAATAATCTTGAGGGAAAGCTTCCAACGGAGCTTGGGAATTTGGTCAATCTTAGGAGTCTGTAAGTTTCTTCCTTTTTTATATTTGATTATGGAAAAATAGAATGGTTATTCATCTTTACAAGTCCTCTTAAGGAAGGATTGCTTTGTTGTAATGAGCAGTTGTTGTATATTTGGCTTCTATCTAACACCCTTAATTTATTACAGCTACTTGACATCAAACAAGTTCAATGGAAGTATTCCGGAAACATATGCCAAGCTTAGACTTCTAGAAAACTTGTAAATGTCTTCCTTAATATTATTTTTCCTCTAGCAATTTAATATCTTTAATTCTATGGTGTCTCATCATTAAAACCAGCTTTTGGGTTTATGCAGTGTAGTTGGTGGAAACAATTTGACTGGTCCGATACCTCATTATTTTGAAAACTGGGTCAACCTTACCAAACTGTAAGTCTTCTTTGATATATATATATATATATATATATTCTTAAATTTATGAAGCTAAACAATTCGATTTAGCTGACCGTATCATTGTGTACTTGTCAGGACTCTTATAGGAAATAATTTTACCGGAAGTCTGTCAGCAAAAACTTTTACTCTCCCAAAATTAGTGAGATTGTATGTGCAGTCCTATAACGCCTGCAATTTATTTTGTTTTCATTCGGAGATACGTATGGTTTTTTCTTATTAAAGAATTCTAAAAGGTTGTTCAATGATTCCAGGTTGGTCAGTGACGTGAGCAATCCTGGAATATCTTTCCCGCCAGGAGATCAAGTAATATCGAAAAGTTTGATTTATTTGTGAGTGATTTTATGGTGCTCCTGGTTATCATTCATTGGAGCTGTAGTTTGACCTTGGGCAACGATTATCACTTCTCTTACCCCATGGCAACAGTCTGCCGTTAAAGGCTAGAGAGTTACTAATTCTTTTTATGTAGCTCAAGGACAACTGATCATCCAATATATATATAGTTGTTAATCAACAAATATGGATTCCCTTACTTCTTCAATTGTTTCTACAGGGTTCTGAGGAATTGCCAAATTAATGGTTCAATACCCAAATACATTGGCAACTGGCCTCAGTTAAAATATCTGTACGTTTACCCTTTTTTTGAATACCCAGTACTTGTTCCATAATTAGATGCTTTGACATTCTATTTTTCAATTTAATGTTGGATCAGTCTACAGGAAAATGATTAAACTCCTCAGTCTTATGGCTCCACTCTTATACGTAGCTCTTAATCATTCTTTCTTTTTCCTTCAGCCGACACTTTGCTATTCCCGATTAAGTCTGTGGGCATCAAACTTCGATATGAAATTCAATATAATGTTATCTATGTTGACTACTATTGAACCGAGATTTGATGTATTTTGTTTTGTCTTGTAGTGACTTGAGCTTCAACAACTTAAATGGTAACATTCCGGAAACGTTGCAGAAACTGAATAAGTTGTATGCGTTTTAAGTTGCTTCTTTAAAACATCAGATGTATCTTTTTCTTTTCTTTTTTTACGATACACCATTGTTGCTGATGGGTTGGTGTTTCCTGCTTAGATTTCTAACAAGCAACGCGTTTACGAAGCTTCCTTCCTGGATCGAAAAGCCAAATGGATCTTCCTATCCAAAAACGTAAGACAGTAGATTAAAATCCACTACTGCATGCATGCAATTGTCAACATAATTTCTTTAGCATAATTTATTGTTATCAAATTTGACTTGCTCTTGAATATTTGAAGTATTCTTCAATAGTGTAAAAGTTATGCATTTCTTTTGATTCCATTCATTTATAACCTTCATTTTATCAATACATCGTTTTTATCAAAAACAAAGAGTAACATGGCATGAACAAATAGAAGTAGTGTATTAAACTATTGAGAAATTGTGGATGATGAGACTTGAACTCATGATCTTTTAATCAATCAAGCTCTCATATCATATTAGAATTAGATAGTTAAGATTGATTTCCATCTAAAAGACGTAAGATTTATAGTGGGTGGTCTTTTCTCAACTTTATATATTATTTATTATTGATTTAACTATTCAATATAAGATATATTCTAACATAGTGTTGAGAGATTCTTTGAACGCAACCTTTCATTTTATCAATACGTTTCGGATTTTATATACATTTATTGGCAAAATGATTACATGCAAATTAATATTCTTGCTCCTCGCCAATTTATCAATACTAAGTGCTTCTTTTGCGCGTTATTCAACTATAATACTCAACCTTTCAATGTTTGATTTTGAGCAATTTTTATGTGATTTATTAATTTTTGGATTTGAATTTCTATAGTATCGTTTTTTTTTATAGCTTGCTTTAAAGCATTCTTAGATTTTACAGTTTTCATAATCAACATAAAGTATTAATAAGATACTATGAGATATACATATAATTCAAAAAACATGATTAATACATTTTTTAAGAATTAACAAACTTTTTTTCTAGAATTTAATATACATATCAATTAGAGGGAGGATATGTTAGCATGGAATTAACAAAGCTTCATTTTTTATGAATTTTTATCTTTCAGAGATCTCTCGTACAATGACTTCGATAAGAAGTGTGAAAGTATAACATGCTTGAGACTGGAAAATGTAAACATGTAAGGGGACAGATCAAACTCCTATCCATTTGACATTAATTCGATTACAATTTGATTGACTTGCGTAAATCACTTATTAAAGTTTCTTACTGATTTTTTTTTCATGACATTGGTGCTTTTCCAGTCACCCGACTAGGTATGTAGTATCCTTATAATTTTCTACAATAATAGTAATCCTGAACTATTTCTAACATATTTTTGTGTTAATTTCTCAGATCTTACATAGCTAACATGCAAAACGAAACATGTCAGCGGAAGCGTATGTTCTTTCTTTTGAATGCTAAATGAATTTGTCTAGTATATACTGAATATGAAATTGGGATTCCTATTCCAACTTTATTTTTTGACACTTGTAAAACGCTGGAGTTAACATTACTTTATAGTTAATAATAGTCAGCAGAATAAGAAAGTCGTATTATCTTGATAAGAACTAGATTGATCACCAACATCAAAGTTAAGGTGCTATTCTGGTTTTCTCTTGCAGAATGTATTCTTAAAGCTCAAACTCTCTAACGAGATATTAGTAGAGTTTGTTATGGTGAACAATCATATTTCCACTAAAATGAGTTTTCTTGCAGATAATTCCTTGTTTATAAATAGTGGTGGTCAGAACGTAACCCTAGGAAAGCATCATTATCATAACGATACCTCAACAACAAGTTTTAACCTAAGTCCATCTGAAGATTGGGCTTATAGCTTTTCTGGAGACTACTTATGGGCAACAATAAATGAAAGTACTTTAGTAAGAAACTCGACATGTGAAGTCTCTAATGTTCAGGGAGACTTAGATAACAATTTTCGCCTTGCTCCTGTCTCTTTAATCTATTATGGGCGCTGCTTGCGTAAAGGCAAGTACAACGTGCAACTTCGTTTTGCTGAAACATTATATTCAAAAGGAGAAGATAACAGCCGAGTAGGGAAACGCGTGTTTGATGTATACATTCAGGTAAGTATTTCACTTTTCATAATGTCAATTTATGTACTAATGTCACATTCTTAAGGAACTCTTGATTGCAGAACAAACTCGAGTACAAGGATCTCAACATAAAGGAACTCCCTGGAAAAGAAAATGAAGGACGAAAGCTAAGCTTCCAAACAAAAATACACAATGGTTCGTTGGAGATCAAGTTCTACTGGGCTGGGAAAGGATCTTTGTACAATCCACCAGCTATCAATGGACCTCTCATATCAGCTATTTCGGTCACCAAAGGTAGGAAGCAACACTTTCCCTTTTCAGAGAAAACACAGAATTCTGTTAGTTGAGAATAATTTATTGCTTGCTATTTACAAGCTGTTGTTTTCTGCTTCCAAAGTTACAAAACTACCTCCTTGGCAAATCGCGGTAATTACAGTAAGCTGTATTTTGTTTCTGCTGCTGCTGTTGGCCTTTATGTGGAGAATGGGCTGGATAGGAGACAGAGAACTACGCGGTAAGCACTAAGCAAAGAAAATCTATGAACATAGAGTTTGTTAGCTGTCGGAATAATTCTTTGACTAATTAAATTAAGTCATCTGTTATTGGAATAGAAACAAAAGTGAAGCTCGGAGAAAGAACTTTCACCCTTAAGCAGATCATTGATGCAACTAAAAAATTTAGCCCCACGAGGAAGCTTGGTGATGGACGCTCTGGGATTGTATACAAGGTTAAACTCCTTTCTTGTTCATTAATTTTTGTCTTTGAAGGCATGTTCTTTGACTTGCCATGAATGCAGGCTGAACTGCCAGATCTAACTGTAGCAGTGAAGAAGCTTGACCCAAAATCAAAAGCAGTCGATGAAATAAGAAGCGAAGTTTATGCAAAGAAGGTTTTGGACTTGAAACATGATAACCTTGTCAAATTGCTTGCTCCTTATTCCAGAAGGGACCTACATTTGCTAATCTACGAATTTATGGAACTTGGCTCACTTGGAAAAGTTTTATTTGGTAATTTCCTTCATCTCAGTCCCAATCTGGCATTTACAAATTTGGTTATCTATGTTGCTTCTATTAGTGCTGCTAGGATTAATTTGATATGTTTCATTTTATTAAAAAATATTACAAAATTATGTCCTGAGGTTTCATCGTTTAACTTAACAACGTAAAGGTTTTGAATTGAAATGGATTTTTTAACATGATATGATCATAATTTCTTTTTTCATATAGATTTTACTTGCTAAGAGTTAAAATGGATTGATTATAGGTGAGGCCACAAGACCCATACTATTTTGTACTTAATTTACTAAAAAAGAAAGTGAGGTGTTAAGATTCAAACTTTTAACTGTTAAGTTAGGAAGGCTCTTCTAATATGTCAAATGACTATCTTATTAAAAAACTTAAGCTTTTACATGAAACTTCATGGTATAATTTATATTATTCATATTAAATGTTTTGGTTGAATTTGATTTTATCCAAACAACTTAAATCATATAGTGATTCATTTTCAATTTTTCTTTTCCTACTAGAATATAAGAGGATATTGAATACTGACTTGGGGATTTGCAGATCCAAATGTGCAACTTGATTGGCCAAAAAGATTTACTATCTGCTCGGGGATAGCGAAGGGTTTGCAGTATCTACATGGAAGGAATCCACAAATAATTCACAGAAACATGAAAGCCAATAATATTCTGCTTAATGCAAATTATGATGCCAAGATAACAGATTTTGGATTGGCGAAGCTTTACGAGGAGGAAAGTTCATATCATATCATGCAAGCTGGACGAGACGCGTAAGTAACACAGCTCATTTTAAATTTCCACGTACTTTCTTATCAGTTCGATTCCAAAAAGACTCCGAGCACAATACAATATAATTTTGCGTTGCTATACCAGGTTAATATAGATATAAACAAATTTGATTAACAGGCATAAATACAAGACTGTTCGGAGAAATTTGTGTTTCTTACTTAATCTATGGTTTCCATTGTTGCAGTTCATACATGGCCCCAGAATATGCAACCAGAGGAGCCATCACTGTTAAAGTTGATGTCTACAGTTTCGGGATCCTTCTTCTTGAAATCGTTAGTGGCAAAAATAATGCAGATTATAGTCGAAACCAAGAATCTGTTTTCCTTCTGGATACGGTATGAGCTAAGTATTAAATTCTATGAACTAAAATATTTATGAACATGTGATACTCTTCGCAGATGTCTGTAGAACTAATGGGGTCACACAAATATTGCAGGCTGGTAAATTACATGCGAGAGGCAAACTTGCAGAATTAGTCGATGCGAGAATGGACCGATATAATTGTGATCAAGCCAACACCATCCTGAACTTAGCAATTATGTGCGTCGATCTATCGCCTTCTAACAGGCCTACAATGTCTCAAATTCTAAGTGTGTTTGAAGGTGAAAAAACTATTGAGGAGATTTCTAAAGAGGTCAATACCTCAGCATGATTTTAAGGCCGTCTTGAGTGATCTCGCTGTCAAGGTAGCTTGTATGGTTTGCGGTTTTTTTTTATGGAAATGCAGGCCATGGGAGTCTCATTTCTGTGATAATGCACACTGTTTTCATGTTGTTATTGTATTATGTCTCTCGTTGGTTGCATTGCTGGTTTGTGAAGTAAATTATCTGTGAGTGTTTTGTGTTAGTTTCATGTTTGTAATTAAAAAACTCAAGTTTGGATCCTACATTTTCCTCTCTATCATTAATTTGAACAATATTTTAATCATTTTATTTTTATTCTCTGATAATATTTCGTCCTTCAATTATTATACAAAACACGATTTAAAAACAAAAATTTACATCCCATAACCATTATTCTTGAAGTAAACAATTTGCTAAGGAAATTATCTTTTTTCTGTTTTTTTTTTTTCCTCACCATCTATACATGCAGATATTACTTTGACACTACTTTATAAGATTCTTTCTTCTCTTTTCAATTCTTATGCTATGTAAGTACTTGATTCCTTACTTCATTTTTATGTAAAGTTAGAGCCTGCAGCTTTACATCCACGTTAATCACGACTTGAGAAGTAAATTATGAATTCGTCTCTTTGGTTTTGACAAACAAATTAATTACTTTTCTTCGTTTTAAAACCTAATTAAATTTCTTTGTTTTAAAACCTAATTAGTTGATTTGTTTTTTAATGTTTTTTTAACTTGTTTTTAAAATAGAGAAAAATAGATATTTTAGTAAAGATCAATGATAAAATAAGATATTTTTAAAAATAAAATAATATTAAATTAAATATTATGAACACTGACTAATGAACTAAATAATTATTTTTTAAAACAAAAGGAACTACTTAATTAGTTTTTTAAAATTTAAAAAAAAAAAAAAAAAAACTAGTTTATGATATAAGCTTGGACTTCTCTTGAGTTAACACTAACATGCATTGTGTATGAAGTTGGTGAAATCCAAACCTTTAGTCTGAATTTAAGTGATTAAAATTTAATTGTTAGTGAGTTTTAAAATTGATGGTTATTTAAAAAAAAAATTTCAAATTATTAATTTCGAAACTAATGATTTGGATTTCACAAATATAATACATCATGAGCCAAATCTATATATGTCGTTTGGTATTGTTGAGATTCTGAAGCGTAGTTATTTTTTATCTAAACATAATGTTTGGTTAATGTCTACTTTAATTTGAATATAAACCTATGATATTTATATAAAAAAATGCTTATACATATAATAGTTTATTAGGAGATCCACAATTTTCTTAAGTAAAAATATAATTTTTTAAGAGCATAACATCCACTATTTAATTTTTTATAGGATTTTGCATCCTTGCAATTGATTAAATATATAATATGCTTTTAAAATTGTTAGAGTTAGAAAACCATTTTTTAAAATTTTCTAATTTAATTTAATTTTTAGTTATTTAAAGATAGGTTCAAAAAATAAAAGCTCCTTTTCGGGAGAAAAAAAAAGTTTAGTGATAAATTTAATTAATTTTTTTCATGTATAGATAAACGAGTGAAAAAAAATCTCACTTGAAAAATAAAGGACAAGCATTTTTAACTTTTTTTTTAATTAACAGTAGAAAAAAATACAGTTACAAATAATGAAGAAAATACAATTTGGATCAGATTTTCCCAAAAACCAATATTTTAAGATTCAAATTACACAAATTGATAATAAAAACTTGAAATTGCCAAATTGTAATAGAACGGGGGCAATTTTTGCCATTAAACCGACTAAATTACAATCCTAGTAGTCCCTTCATTTTGTAATCTAGTTTTGGATATTGAGAAACTTGTTTTATTTTTTATTTTTTAAAATTTGGCATAGTATTTCATTTTTTATATTCTTTAGAATATGGGTAAATGATATTAAAATCCTTATTATTCTCTATTCATAGAAAACACTATCTTACAATACAAAAAATAGCGAGATAGGGACAAAAAAATCTGTTGCTATCACAACAAATTCCATCACTAAAATGACTTAGCGACAAATTTGCTATAAAAAAAATCCATCACTAAAACGCTCATTGCTAACCTCCGTGATGGAATGTATAGCGTATGTCGCTAACTTACCACCGATTCATTTTATTCCGTCGCTAAATGGATGCCAAAGCCATCATCTTTCCGCCATATAATACATCACAATTCCATCGTAAACTTGTTTTGAATCTATCATTAGTAACGACTAAAAATCCATCGCTATTATCTAATACTAAAGTGGGTTGCTATTCCGTAGCTAATCTGTCACTAACTAGTGATCGTACCTTTTCATCATTGTTTTTTAGCAGAAATTATTTTTATATCTTCATTTCGATTTATGATTCATCATTAATTTTTTAAAAAAAAATTATTATTTTTTTAATTTAAAAAATTTTGATATTCCCGATAATAACTAATAATTAAAACAAACAACTTACTATAAAAAACTAATTTTTTATTTTTAAATTAAAATTAAAATATTATAAATTAAATTGAAATTCATATTAAAACAATTATTCGTTAGTATGTAAGAAAAGAGTAAAAACACAAAAGAAAATATAAAAGTCACTCTTCATCATGATCATCTAATCCCTTCTTACCTTCCTACAACTCGCTAGGAGGGACCATGGAGTCCCGGCTAGTGGAGGGATCGATAGGCAAGTGGGACATATGCACCGACCTATGTAACACCACTATAATTGACTCAATCCGAGTTTCTATCGCTTGGATCTTCATCTGCTACTCGCGTGATAATTTTATTCCGCTCGTCTAACCTCACTCGCATTTCAATCACTCGTCTCCTTATACTAGTTGTGAATCTCATCGGCATTATTGCTTGGGAACCGTGATGATACAAAGGATAAGGTGGCACTAGCTGAATGGGATGAATACTATGACGCTAGTAATCCATTCTCGTAAATCCTTTTCTTTTTCTCTAAGGCTCGAAGTTCTTCATTCATAGCTTATTGCCAAAGAGGGTCGATGACGGCCTCACGATAAGAGCGAGGCTCATTTAAGGTTACAATAGCAAAAAAGCTATAATAATCTTGGAGATGAAGAGGAGTGTCTCCTACCCGAGTGGAAAGACGAAGGGAAACGGAAGGCACATGAGCAACATCGGGAACTAACTCTTGAGAGGCGAAGCGAAGCGGGAGCTATATGAGTGAGGTCATCAAAAGAAGTTGTGTTAGGTGTAGAAGAGGGTATATCAATAACATCGAAGTGACTTCAAGAGAAACAAGAGCCGGGACATGAGGAGTATTAGTGACATCTTCGAATAAGCTATATCGGGATTAGAAAATAACTCAACAAAAGTGTCAATAAAAAATGAAGTAGGAGTGATGAAAGAAGAATGAAATTTTGATAAGGAAGAAAACACTTTATTTTCCCAAAAGGTGACATGATAAGAGATATGCAACCTATTGGAAATAGGATCCCAACAACGATAACCTTTATGTTCTATCGCATAACCTAAGAAACAACAAAGGCAAGCACGAGGTTCCAATTTTGTATGTTCATGAGGTTGTAAGAGAACAAAAGAAACACAACCAAAAGGTTTAAGGATAGAATAATCGGGAGGCTTACCAAATAATTGTTCAAAAGGAGACATATTTTTAAGAACTTGAGTAGGAGTGCGATTAATAGATTAGACAACGAGTTAGAGTCGATTCTCCCTAAAAAATTTTAGGACAAGAGGTAGAAAGAAGAAGGGCATGAACAAAATCAAGAATATGGCGATGTTTACATTCAGCTCGACCATTTTGTTGGGAGGTGTGAGGACAAGAACGTTGAACCAAAGTACCTCGTTGAGAAAGAAATTGAAGAAGGGACGAGCCTCGATATACCAACCATTATTAGTGCGAAGTATTTTAATGGTATGAGAGAATTGAGTTTTGATCATACTAGCATAGTTAATGTAGAGTTTTGGTAACTCGGATCATTGTTTTTGAAAATAAATCTAAGTAAAACTAGAATAATCATCAATAAATATAACAAAATATCAATAACCATTCACGGATGGGGTAGGAGAAGGTCGCCAAATATCGAGTGAACTATGTGAAAAAGGAACATCGAAATTGAGGTACTATTATTAAAATACAAAGCAGTGCTATTTAGCCGATTGTCAATTTAAACAATCAAATGACTCAAATTTTATAGATCCTAATAACCCTCAAGAGGTTAAAAAATGGAGTTTACTAGCGAAGCATGACCTAGGCGAAGATGTCACCGATATATATAGATGAATTAGATATGGTAGCAGTTGACACGTTTCTAGAGGGGAGATGGAGCGAGGTAAGCTCGAATAATCGACCCACTTTGCGACTTGCCCAAAAGTTTGTCCCGTCTTTGGATCCCGTATCCGACAACCGAAGAGGAAAAAATAACATCAAGGTTAAGATCACATAATTGGCCAACGAGAGATAAGATTGAGAGTAAGGTCAAGAACAAAATAAGTATCGGGAAATCCTAAGATGTGAGGCGGATACTTGGCCAATATGAGAGATAGTCATATCATTACCATTTGTAGTATGAATGGGTGGAAGGAAGGGTACGAGTGTTTTTGTGGATAAAATAGATATGTCAAAAGTCATATGATTGCAATAAAGAGAGTCAAAAAGCTAAGAGGATTTACCCGAAGTAACGGACAATGCAGAAGAATTGGTAGAAATAACTCTGTTTAAGTAGAGCTTGAAGATCACTTATGGTAATACCGATAGAGTTCTCGAGAGGCAAGCTGCAAGCAACAGAGGAAGGACTAGGTCTAGAGAAATAACTCTTAGGCTTAAAGGGACCACCCTTTGATCTTAGTGGGCGAACGGGACAATTTTCAATAATATGTCCAACTTCATGACAATATTTGCATTCAATGGTAGGACAAGCGAGAAAAGATGTGACTCGTTTGACGATAGTTCTTACGTAAAGGAGCTTTTGATCTCGACTTGGGATGTTCTATATGAAGTAGTGGCAAGAGCAACATCGGTTGAAAAGGTCTTGTCTAGTCCAAGATGTGTTTCCTCAAATATGATTTCTTGAATGGCAGTGTCGAATGATGGAAGTGGATTCCGATGTAATAAAGAGGCTCTAGCAGACTTCATATTCCGGATGTAATGCCATTAGAACTTGAATAAGATGAAGATGATCTTCACCGATCTTAGCCCGAGATAATTGAATCCAAACGAAGTTGTACTTGAGCTAGAAAATCATTTACCAATTGACCAAATTCTTGTTTGAGATTATGGAGAGTGGTCCATAACCGATAATACTGTGCAAGTCCAGTGGTTTTATATCGAGTAGCAAAAAATTCCCAAATCTCCTTAGCAGTATCATAATCAGCAAATTGAATGTGAATGGAAGGGACAAAAGTGTTGCAGATCCAGGTGATGATTTGATGATTTTTGCTATCCTAGTCTTCAAGACGATCTTGAAATTTAGCATCAATCTCGTCCTTCTCCTTTGTTGGCTTTACAATATCTCCAGTGACAATACATCAAAGTTTGCGCCCAATGAGAAAGCTCTTTATACCTTGAACCTAAAGGTTGTAATTAGATCCAATCAAAACAGTTGAAATTGGCTTAGAGACATTTAACTTTTCCATTCGTGTGGATGGATAAGAAGGATTTTAGTGACGGAAACAGTAGCAAGCAGAGACACAAGATAAGCAATGGGACAAAGACAATCAGAAGCAAAGTTTTGAAACAGAGGCAGACAGAGGCACAAGATAAGCAGATGAGACAAAAGCAATCAGAAAGAAAATTTTGAAACAGACCCGGGCTCTGATACCATGTTAGTTGCAGACAAAGAAAGAAACGGACAAAGAAATGAAAAGGAAAGAAATATATATTCTGTTTTTGTGTTATATCCTTGTCCTATGAATTACAATATATAGACACTCCAGTGCTTATCATTTGGCTTGATCTATGTGACAATATATTCATGACAGCCCATATGACAGCCCATTCTCCTTGATCCATGGTACAACATATTGTCAGCCCATTCATGTTGCTATAATTACGCTAAAAGGACGAAAGCTACGCCACCCCACAAAAATACAGGACGGTTCGTTGAAGATTCAGTTCTTCTGGGCTGGCAAAGGATCTCTGTACAATCCACCTGCTATCAACGGACCTCTCATATCAGCTATTTCAGTCACCAAAGGTAGGTAGCAACACTTACCCTTTTTCTGAGAAAACCCAGAATTCTTATTGCTTGTTGTTTACGAGCTGTTGCTTTCTGCTTCCAAAGTTAGAAAACTACGTCGTAGGGAAATCGCGGTAATTACAGTAAGCTGTATTTTGTTTCTGCTGCTGCTGCTGTTTGCCTTTATGTGGAGAATCGGCTGGATAGGAGACAGAGAATTGCACGGTAAACACTAAGCACAGACAATCTATGAACATAGAATTTGTTATCTGTGGTAATAATTCTTTAAATAATTAAATTAATTCATCTGTTATTCTAATAGAAACAAAAGTGAAGATCGGAGAAAGATCTTTCACCGTTAAACAGATCATTGATGCAACGAAAAAATTTAGCCCCACGAGGGAGCTTGGTAGGGGGCGTTCTGGGATAGTATACAAGGTTAAACTCTTTTCTTGTTTATTAATTTTTGTCTTTGAGGGAATTTTTTTTATCTTCTTTGATTTTTCTTCATTTTGACATGCCATGAATGCAGGCTGAACTGCCAGATCTTACTGTAGCAGTGAAGAAGCTTGACTCAAAATCAAAAGCAGTCTATGAAATAGCAAGCGAAGTTTATGCAAAGAAGGTCTTGGACTTGAAACATGACAACCTTGTCAAATTGCTTTCTACTTATTCCAAAAAGCGCCTACATTTGCTAATCTACGAACATATGGAACTTGGCTCACTTGGAAAAGTTTTATTTAGTAATTTCCTTCGTCTCTCAGTCTCACTCCCAATTTGGCATTTACAAATTTGGCTAACAATGTTGCTTCTATTAGTGTAGCTAGGATTTCTTTGATATGTTTTATATTATTAGAGAATATTATAAACTCATATTCTTAGGTCTCATCGTTTTACTTACCGACGTAAACTTTTGAATTGAAATGGATTTTTGAAGATGATAAGAGAGCTTTTTTCTTTTTCCTTTTTTCATGTAGATTTTACCTGCTGGGAGTTAAATGGATTGATTGTATCTGCATTTCTTTAGAGATTATCAAGTGATTTAGCTTCCATTATTACTGGATGGTTGAGCTTTTGAAAGATCTATTAGCATTTTTTATCCAAACTACTTAAACTTTATAATGATTCATTTTCAATTTTTTTTTCCAACTACAACATAAGAGGATATTGAATATTGACTTTGGGATTTGCAGATCCAAACTCTACAGTGCAACTTGAGTGGCCGAAAAGATTTACTATCTGCCGGGGTGTAGCAAAGGGTCTGAAGTATCTACATGAAAGGAAACCACAAATAATTCACAGAAACATGAAAACCAATAATATTCTGCTCGATGCAAGTTTTAATCCAAAAATATCTGACTTTGGATTGGCGAAGCTTTACGAGGAGGAAAATCCATATATTGGGATTGAAGCAAGAAAAGATCTGTAAGCAAAAAATTATGTTGCAATTTTCTTTCTTCTAAGAAATTTAGTACTGAAAACAGAACAGATGCAAATCATACTAATAATACACCTGTTATATTGATCGTTGACACCAAGTACAAGAAATTATTAGATATATCAGGAATTGCACTTCTTCCTCTTACATAAACATAGAATCCAACATAAAAATTATTGATGAGTCACTCACATCTTTATGCTAGAGAGAAGAATACAATTTCCCGTATACTTCAGAGACATAAACATCAGGATGTTTTCGACAAAACTGTGTTCCCTGTTAAATCTATTATTTTGTTGCTATTGCAGTTTATACATGTCACCGGAGTACGCAACCAGAAGAGCCATGACAGTTAAAGTCGATGTCTACAGTTTCGGGATCCTTCTTCTTGAGATCGTTAATTGGAGAAGCAATGCAGAATACAGATCAAACCAAGAAACGGTTTTTCTTCTAGATACGGTAAGAGCAAGAGAAATGTTTTTCTTTAATTAAACTTTTCTTAACAAAAATATGAACATGTAAACCTATAATGCTTTAAAAATAAACATCCATTTTGAATTAATGATGAATACCTTAAATAATGCTATCTTTTATAAAATATCCATTTTGAATTAATTTCTGGAATAACGTCTACCATTGATGGATATGATACTTCTCACAAATGCAGGCCGGTAATTTACATGCGAAGCAAAAACTTCTACATTTAGTTGACCCAAGGTTGGGCCCTTATGATCGGGACGAAGCCAACATTGTGTTGAACTTGGCCATAAAGTGCACTGATCAATCACCTTCTCTCAGGCCTACAATGTCTCAAGTTGTGACTGTACTTGAACGTGAAAAAACACTTGAGGACATTTCTACAGAGATCGCTTCCTCTACATGATTTGGAGCCTGCCAATTTCTCTATATCGTCTCCCAGCATGATCGGGTGTTCAGTATATCTTGTGTGGTTTGCCAATCTCTCTATATCTAAGGATTGTTTTTGTCATTGGTTTCTTTTTCCTTGATGTCATTCCTCTTTTTGTTTTGAATCTTTTCAGTAAAGATCGAAGAAAAAAAAACGTGTGATGTTTTCTTTTTGTAATTATAGGCCCCGGAGAGTGGAGACCTCATTTGTGTTATGTCTTCATATATAGATATCTTGTTCCATGTTATCAACTATTACTACTTTATGTATGTTTTCCTTTAGTTCTGTTTTCCAGAAAAACTTAGCGTATGCATTTTTCTTGCATTCGTGCATTGGAAAGGATTAGTTAAAAATCCTGGCTCTTAGTCTCAGTTTGTATCAATCAAGTCTCAAAACTTTACTTCAATCTTGGTAGACAAAAGTGCCAAAGCAATAAGAGGTGGGACTCTCTCCAACTTCTAATTTTCTCTAAGATCTCACATGTTGTGCTTGATTAATGTTAGATAGTAATATAAAAGTTATTTTTAAAGCTGCCTCCAACATAATTTCGAGTTGATGTAGTTTTTTAATACGATATTTGAGTTTTTTAACTAAATATTCATGAATTCGAATTATATCATCGTATTTATTTTTTCTTATTAAAAGCATAATAATTAAATTTTTTATTAAAATTAAAATAATTAAGCACAAGGTAATTATGCACACTTGTAATTTTTAAATCTAAATGACTTTTGCTTGAAAGGCAGCTTAAATTTTTATATTAAAAATTTAACACTGAAAAACTATGATTCCATAACGTGTGGTGAGATTTCTTCAAATATACATTAATAGATGATTCTGGCACAACGTGACTTGCTGGCAGTTTGAGATAACCTATGTGCTTTCCATTTTAACTAGCAAGATAAATCTTACATCGGTAGGGAGCAGGGATGGTAATGGAAGGTTCTAAAAATAATTTATCAAAACTATTTTATTTTTAATCCATAAAATTTAATTTTTTTTTCCATTTTAGTCATTTTTATAAGTTTTTGGTCCTCAAAATTTTTGACAAAAATACTTTGATCCTTAATTTTAAAATTTTATACAATTAGATTCCTATCTCGTTTGAAAAAATAAAAAAATTAATAAGTAATAATATAATAAAAAGCAAATATCCATACCTTAAAACTATATTAGCCAATAAATATTTTTTTTATCTTTATCTGTTTTAATATTATTAGATATTTTTAATTGATATTTATTGAGTCAGACTCCTTACAATCCCCTACTGCCAACAAAGAATTATACTTTTGAAGTTTTCGTTTCACCGTGTATTTATTTTTATCCATTTTAATATCTATTAAATATTTTTAATAAATATTTATTATATCTGATAAAATAAATATTCATTTTACTGCAGCTCATTGCCAGCCCTAGTGGGAACAGCGAATTATACTTCTGAAGTTTCAATTGCACCATGCTTTTGTTAATAGCTCAGGACTAGAAATATGAGGGTATTAATCCCTGTGAAGACTTGCCTATTCAGTCAATGTAAGGGTGGCAGACACAAGCATAGTGGACAACCTCAAGGCCCACATAAGAAACGGATGGCTTTAGGTTGATGGGATTTCTCAGTCAAAAGTTTGTAAATTTTAAATCACTCTATTTTAACATAGTTTTCTTTCTTTTATTAATAACTGCGAAAAAATCGGAGAACTTGCTTGTATTTGTTTGTTTTTTAATTTATCTGGAGAGAGACAACTCAGTAGAATAAAAATCACTTAACTTAATGGACTCTATGTTGTTCCAACTTATTTGAAGAGAGACAACTCAGTAGGGTTAAATACATCAATTTAGCTATCCAAAGGACACACAATATTGTCAAGATTACAAATTATTGAGTTAATTTCCCCTATTCTTGGATGCTTTTAAGCAATATAAAGAACAATAATTTTGAAGGAATATGCTTTTAACTTGACAAATCTAATTCTCCCCCACTATTTTAGATTCTGTAGAATTCAGCGACCATAATTCATAGGTAATTGCGGCTTTATGATGAGAAATTTTATAATACATCAAAAGTAAGTAGTAATATATACAATAATTACTCTATGAATTTACTCGAGAAGAGAGATAGACATACAAAAAAAAAAGTAAAATTACATCCATATCTTCCAAAAGTGATAAGAAGATTTTTACGTCCGTTCAAATTTTTTTATTTTTTCTCTCCTATTTCTCTTTTTTTTTTTTTTTGTCTATCTCTCTTTTCAAAATAGACCCATATAATAATTACTATACATACCATTAGTTACTTATGATGTATTATAAAATTATTTCTTCATGATTGCTCTTCGTCGGTAATGGGTACCATTATCATCAACTCTTCAGCTATCTGCCAAAAACGAAAAGTAGCTTTAACAAAGCAACTTTAACTCAGGCGCTTTATTCTGGCACTGATGGCACCAAAATTATTCTAATCTCGGATGTTTAGAATATGGTCTGGCTTCTATTAGAAGTTCTTTACAGTTTTTTTGGTCACTGCTAAGGAAGCTCCACTTGCAGCAAGGTGCATATTTCATTTTCCTGCTTTGATGGCCATCTCTGTCCTTATGGTTCTGGCTATTTAAGTATGCATTCACTTCTAGCATGTTTTATTATTATTATTATTGATAAACTTCTTTGTCCTTTCAGGATTTAAATTTTTGCCCTGAATATTCAAGATCTATAGGCAGCAAACCGTAAGCATTTCTTATCAACATCCTAGTCTTTTTTATCATGATGTTGCTCAATTTCTCTTTCAATGGGGGTCAAGGTTTTGTGTTGAACGATAGAATCAATTTGTCAACATAGATTGCTGCTAAAACGTAACATGAGATCCATTATTCTATTCAAATGTTTTCTTCACGGACTAGATAATAGATTTACATGTCGTTAATGAAGATTGTTTGATTTCACAAGGTAAAAGATGGGCATGAAATTTAAAATCAATATGTTATGTAGGACTCATTCAATGTTATGTAGGGCTCATTCGATTTTATCACATTCAGATTTACCATTATAGATGAGTATGGAATAAAAAAAAATTAAAAATAAAATCTTTTACAGGTATAATACAAGAAGATGATAGTGGCGGATGCTATGATTCAACAGCTGACACAACAAGTGTTCACAGCTCTGCAAGAACAAGCTAGATTTGCACTTGACTTCCAAAGTCAGTTCGAAATGATGAAGACGAAGCTAGACCTTACAAAGGCCCTACTTGCTGACACAGAGAACCTCAAGAGCAAGAAGAAAGCTGTCAAGACGATTTTGATTAACTTGAGAGACCTGATTTACGAAGCTGACAACATATTAACAGACTGTCTTGTTAGAGATGAATATCAGAAAGATGGATCCTGCACCAGTTTCACACTTCAGAAGCCAATATTCTTGTATCAAACAGGCAAGAAGTTGAAGGACATTAATGCAAAAATGGAGACGATGGAGAGGTCACTGGCATTGTATTTGAAAGCCCCGGACGAAAGCAACCATGGAGATAACACAAACCAGGTTATGAAATACGCATCACAGGATTGTGTCCCATCTGAGATAATTGGACTTGAAAAGGATCTGGAAAAGTTAAAAGGCTGGATGCTTTACGCAAAAGATGTACTTCTCCGAGTTGGCATCGTAGGGATGGGTGGCCTGGGTAAGACCACAATTGCCCAGAAAATTTTCAATGATATAGAGGTAGCAGGTCATTACGACAAGATGATTTGGGTGTCTGTTTCTCAAGCTTCAAGTGACTTGAGGATCATGAGAAGCATGTTGGAACAATTAGAACTCCATTGCTCTGTGTCAGATGAAGCTCAAATGTTGCACAAACTAAACCAACTACTTAGAGACAAGACATGCCTCATTGTATTGGATGATGTATGGGAAATTAATCAAGAATGGTGGAATCAATTATGCTCGGCGTTACAAAATGCCGTGGGAAAAAGCAACTGCATCATAATCACAACAAGAAAAGAAGATGTCTTAGTGAGTATGGACGTTGACAAGTCACAGGTTCATCAGCCAAAAACTCTAAAAGAAGATGATAGCTGGTTGCTGTTTAGCAAATCTGCGTTTTCCAGGTGCAAGGATAGAAAATGCCCAGATGCTCAATTCGAAAGAGTTGGTAAAGAAATATTGGAGAAATGTGGGGGACTTCCACTGGCAATTAAAGCAATAGCAGCATTATTGGCTTCAAGATCACATTCAATTGTCCAGTGGATTGAAGTTAATGATAATTTTCATGAATTGACGTCCGGAGGAAATTTTAGCTCAGTGATGGCATCCTTGCAACTGAGCTATGATGAACTTCCATCACTGTTAAAACAATGTCTATTGTGTTTCTCCATTTATCCTGAAGATTCGGAGATACAAGCAGAGCAACTGATCAATTGGTGGGTTGGAGAGGGGCTAGTGCAGGGCAAGGGCTGGAAAACAGCAAAAGAAGTGGGTTTTGATTACCTATCTGAGCTAGTTACTAGATGCTTGGTTGAAGCTGTGCATAGGCGAGGATATGATGGAAGAGTCTACTGTTGCAAGATGCATGACATGGTGAGGGAACTGACCACTAAAATAGCAGAGGAAGAGTCATTTGGCGAATTTGATGTAAAAGGCAAGCAGGAAATGACAGCAAATTCTCGTTGGTTGGGTTTTACAAGTGAAATGAACCCAAAATCATTGAGGAAAAGTTCAAAGCTTAGAGCCTTATTGATAATGTCAACCTACAAAGCCGGATTTGATAGGAATATTGGGTCGCTCAGTTCTCTCAGAGTGTTGGATTTCTCCCTGACTAAGTTGGAGAACATTTCTGTGGAGGAACTCATGGATTGGATTTGCTCCCTTAAACGCTTGGCATATTTGAATCTAAATGGAGTTGTAGGCCTCAAAGAACTACCGCCTTCTATCAGGAAACTCCGCAACCTTCAGCTTTTGATTTTAGGTGGATGCAATGACCTCGTCAAACTACATCCTGCAATCACTAATTTGACGAAGCTGATCGTCTTGGATTTAGGATCCTGTCGCCTCCAGCACCTACCTCGAGGAATAGAAAGGCTCTCCTATCTTCAAGAACTGTCTGGATTCAAAGTAGGAGCCAGCAGCAGATCATCACCAAGTTGCAGGTTTTCTGACCTTCAACAGCTTGTCCACCTAAGAGTACTAAGAATGAGTGTCGGTAAGGAGAGCGAAATTGCAGAAAATGATAGGTATGTCCTCTTGAATCTCAACAAGCTTAAAGTTCTAGCCATTGATGCCGAAGATTGTGAAGACAACAGTATCTCAAAGAAACTTGATAGCCTTTCCCCCCTCCAGCTCTCCAGGAGTTGTATATCAGGCGTTATCGCCAAGATACTCTGCCTGCGTGGATCAATCCTGAAAGGCTCTCTAGCTTGCAATACATTTGTATTGAAAATGGGGATATCATTGACTTCCAAACAAGCCCTCAATATGTAGATGGAAGAGTTTTTCCTTGGAACATTGAAGGTCTATGTTTTAAGTTCCTGCAAAATTTAAAACTGGACTGGAAAAGCTTGGAAAAGGATATGCCTTTGTTACAATATGCAGAGGTTAGTGGCTGTCTAAATTTGCAAAACTTTACCCATCCTCTCGACAAGCTGGCTGTCTGGAAGAAGGGTGAAGAGTGAAGATTGAAGACTTGGGGATGGCAAGAAAAGAAAGGATGATCTACTATCCAAAAGCTTTGGGGGATTTATGTGTGTGTTTTATTTACTTGTGTGGCATGAACTCTGTGTGCTGGTTTGTTTGCTTATTTCTTGTTTCTATATGTATCATGATCATAAGCGTGTAATATAAATAAAAAAATATTAAAAAAATAAATTGTAAAAAATGTATTAAAGTTAATAAAATGTAATAAAAAAATTATAAAATTAATTATGATAAAATTTAATTACATGAAGAATAATAGAATAAACAAGTGAATTTTATTTTTAAAATTTGATTATATAAAGAATAAGTAAACAAAAACAAGCTTGAGTGCATGGGCCTACGGAAGGCCTAATGCAAGCTGCTCTCCTGGTGCAGATGCAACCCGAAGACTAATTGTTTTAAAAATACGAGAGATCAAAATAAAATGTAATGAAAAATTTAGAAATTAATATCCAAAAACAATTAAAAAATTACATAAATGTCATTTATATAAACCTGGATAAAATTTATGACTTACTTTTATTTTATTTTATTTTTTACAATCTATTCATTAAAAAAAAAAAAAACTAATATATAGTTTGTACTGAAATGAATGGTTCATATTATCTTTTTTACCTTTCTTCTAATAAAGTTACTTCTAAAAAATTTGAATTAGAGGTATTTTTACCGTTTGATCTTTCATCAAAATCTCTTATTTATTAAATGTGCGTATTCTTTAGATAAAATACTATCATCCGTTTATATTAAGAAAAATAAATAAAACCTCATGAAAAAAGAGATAAACAGAAACAAGAGGAATCCATGGGAAGATGATTCTTCTTCTTCCTTCTCTGCAGAAGAAAACAATAATTTTGACAAAATCGACGAAACCAAAGAGACGAGAGTGAATGGAAACAAAAGCCCAAAAGATTCAACCATTTCTAATACAATAGAGAAAGAAATATTGTGAAGAAAGAAGAAATACAATTGCATTAATTTGGAAGCAATCGCTACATACAAAATATTTGCTATCAAAGGAGGAAGGAATGAGGGAAAAAGCTGAAGCAAACTTGGGAAAAATGTAAGATAAGAGAAGTACCTTCCCCTGCATTTTGTCCTAGCAGGAGTACTCACTCTTTATCTTGAAAACTATACAATAATCTTCCTTTATCTCAGGCAAGACCTGAAGCTTATCATACACATTGGATCTCATTCCCTGCCATGAGACCTGACTCATAAGAACCATTACTGTATGTTACAGTTTGCAGCCATTAAACTTCTCTATTTGTCCCAAAAACATAAGCTCCTGCAGTAACATCAATTTTAGCATCCCATTAAGAAAAAGAAAAGCAGGCTCAAAGAAATCACTAATCTTACCTAGTGTAGGCATGAGAAAAGACAGTGCTGCAATGCCAGCAATCTTAAGTGGCACTCCTGTCTTGAGCATATCTTTGATCTCAATCTGCCCAGTAGTGAACCCAACGAGATTCGAAGGCGTTCCGGTTGGAAGAAGGAAAGCAAATTGTGCTCCGATTGCCCCAGGAACCATAAGGAGAAGAGGATGAACATGCATGGTTTTTGCGATTTCGGTCAGTAGAGGAACCACAAGGGTGGTTGTGGAATTGTTCGAAGTGAATTCAGTGATGGTGGCACTGATTAGACACACCATAGGTGCAATGGCCAAATATGGTGCCTCTTCCAAGAAGTCCAATGCCTTCGATAGAACTTCAGCTAGGCCACTGGACTTGACCCCATCAGCAATGGCAAAACCAGCTCCAAGTAGCAACACAATGTTCCACGGTAGTTTCTTGCATTTGTTCCAGTCCATCAATTTCTCCCCTCTCTGCTTCTTGTTCGGAATTATGAACAACAAGGTTGCCATCATAACCTACATAAGAGAAGGGGGGGAAAATTACATTGCACCATGCAAACTCCTTATTTGAATGCAACTTAATTAGTAGCTAATCGTGTACAAACTACCGAAAAACCGAAATAAATTCAGTGCTTAATTATACTCACACTGACGGTTCCGTCGCCGGCACGGCCATTGAAGAGAGTTCCCCAACCAGGAATGTCATCAGTTATACTTCTTGTCATCCATAGGACTATTAGCATCTGCACTAACCATCTTACAGTAAGGGCATAGTGAACATAATTAATGCTTTGATTATAGATTAGTAGTATAATTTAAAACACTCACCCCAAAAACAGCTAAAACCATTTTTTCAGCAAAAGCCATTGGACCTGCACACACCACACTTAAAATTAATTCTTGACTAATACCAAAACTCATCAAAATAAGACTAATTGATTATTGCAAGATTAGTTATATAACATTTTGAGAGATATTAAATATACGTGAGAGATATGTGAGCTAATAAAACAATAATACATGTCCTCTTGTATCTATTCAACCGTCGTTTAAAATTGATCAACAAATGAAAAGACTTAACTGTCTATAAAAACAACGAATTGAAATCCAAATTATAATATACAAATGACGAAACAGTAATCCTTACCTAACATTTGAAGCTCTCCTTTAAGGTGGGCTTTGTCCAAATAAGCAGAAAGGATCTGTCCTGAGCCCTTCGAGCAATACAGCAAACAAAGAATGGCCCACAAAGCAAAGAAAATCACCAAAGCTAAAGGAAACCCAAAGAAGAACCAAGTGTTAAAGCTGATGGGATCTGCCTCAGGAAAATAGCTCTTCCACATCCCCACCAATATCAGGTTAACACCTGTACCGGTCAAAGTACTCATCCCTCCTATAGCTGCAGAGTATATAACCCCAAGAACCACTGCTCTACAGAACTTGCCCACAACGTTGGACTGAGTGGGACCCATTGGCAAACGTTGTAAGATACCAGTGGCTACTGGCATCATCATCACGGCCGCTGCCACGTTGTGCATCCACATGCTGACAAATGCCGCGGTGGCACATATCCCAAGGAGGAGAAGTGGTGGATTCAATGGATCTCCACAGTACAGCATAGCTATCTGCATGCCCCACAATTGTGTAAGAAAGAAGTAAACGATCGCAAACAATTCAGAAAGTTCCTCACCTACAGGAAATCTTTTGCTTTTATAATACAACAGGGATGAAGTGGAGGGGAAAAAGAAAAAAAAACAATTTTTTAGGACAACAGAAATAAAAGATTTGCAAGGTGAAGTTATATCTAATTAGTAAAACCACTAAAGATTGCTTATGTGTTGGATCCAAATTTGGAGGATCTTTCAGAACCAAAGGATGATGATTCGAACAACTCAAGGCTGAACGAAAGAAACGTGTCGATGATGAATTACTATGCGAGAGGCCATATTCTCAACATACTATCGGATCGATTATATGATCTTTTCATCGGTGTTCCATCCTCGAAAGAAATCTAGAAAGCGTTGGAGTTCAAATACAATGCTAGAAAACAAGGAGCGAGATAAGTTTTTCATTATGAAATTTTTTGAATTTAAAATGGTTGATAATTTATCTGTTATGGATCAAGTGCATGATTTGTCCGTTATGATATCGAAGTTGAAAGAGTTGAAAGTTCGGATTTCGAATCACTCCATGTAGGGGCTATAATTGCAAAATTACCTCCTACTTGGAATGATTACGGGAAAAAGATGCTTCATACCATCGAAGACTTTACTTTGGAACGAGTTGAAAAACATCTTCGAATTGAAGAAGAGACTCGAAACTTGCAAAAAAGGAACTATGAAACTATTTCCAAAGTGAATTATGTGGATGAAAAGAAGCCAAATTCGGGAGGAAAGAAGCATTCGGAGAGAGCAGCTTCTAGAGGGAAGAAAAGAAAACATCAAGACTTCTCGAGCTCTAATGCAACAAAAAATAAGACAAATAAGTCTTGTTATCATTGTGGAAAGAAAGGCCATTTCAAACGTGAATGCCGATACTTTAAGAAGCAAAGGATAGAGAATGCCAATGCTCGTAAATATGGTGGAGAAAGAAACCGATGCACTTGTTGCAATGATTTCGACTTGCACATTGGCATGATCACGGAATTGAACATGACTGCCGCAACCAAGACCTTCGATTGGTGGTATGATTCGGTGCCACCGTCCATGTGTGCAACGACAAAGCTCAATTCAAGACCTTTGAGAAGGCCATTGAAGGTTACGAAGTGATGATGGGAAATAAGGACACCGCAAAGGTTCTTGGCAAGGGCACTCGTTGAAATATCGTTTACTTCGAAAAGAAGTTAATGGTGGTCAATGTTCTGTATGTTCCTGAAATTAGAAAGAATCTTGTATCTCGCTAATCTGTTATGTAAGAAGGGGATTAAGGCCGTAATAAAGTCCGACAAAGTTGTATTCTCTAAGAATGGTGCCTTTGTAGGCAAAGTGGTACTCTTGTGATGGCATGTTCAAACTCGGTATTATTAATAAGATGAATGTTTCTGCTTATATTGTTGACTCTTCTTCTTTTCATTTATGGCATGGTAGATTAGCACATGTTAATTTTGGTTCTATTAAATATATGTCAAAACATGGCTTAATCTCTTGTAATGATACTAGTAATGGAAAGTGTGAAATTTGTATACAATCAAAGATGACTAAGAAACCTTTTCCTTCAATTCAAAGATCTTCCGAATTATTAGAACTTGTTCATCATGATATATGTGAATTAAATGGAATTTTAACTAGAGGAGAAAATAGGTATTTTATTACTTTCATTGATGATCATTCTAAATACACTTATGTGTACTCAATGAAAACTAAAAATCAAGCTTTCGACATGTTTATGTGTTATAAATCTAAAGTTGAAAATCAAAGAGAAAAGAAGATTAAAGTGTTAAGAAGTGATAGGGGTGGTGAATATTTTTCTACTGAATTTTCTTCCTTTTGTGAGGCTAATGGCATTATGCACGAAATAAGTGCACCTTATACCCCACAACAAAATGGTTTAGCTGAAAGAAAGAATAGAACACTAGTTGATATGGTGAATGCTATGATTTTGAATGCTAACTTACCTAATAATTTATTGGGTGAAGCATTATTAATCGCGTGTCATGTGCATAATAGAACACCTTCTAAGAAATTTAAAGTCTCTCTATATGAATTATGGAAAGGAAGAAAACCAAATCTAAATTATCTTAGAGTTTGGGGTTGTCTAGCCTTCTATAGAGTCACGGATCCTAAATGAACCAAGCTAGGACCAAGAGCTCTAAGAAGTGTGTTTGTAGGAAATGCTCAACATTCCAAGACATATAGGCTATTGGATTTAGAAAATAATGTGATAGTAGAATCTAGGAATGTCGAATTTATTGAACATAAATTTGCCAATGATTCTAATACTACTACACAAACGAGATAAACAAATTGATCCAAGTTCACTATCTAAGTGGTAAGAGAAAAACCAATAATACTCCTAAGTGAACCTAGGAGAAGTCAAAGGACTAGAAAAGAAAAGAACTTGAATCCAGATTTTATTGATCCACGGTCTATTGTCTTCCTAGTTGAAGGTGATAGAAAATCTATACGTAATAAAATACCTATTTTATTAAATATAGAAGAAGATCCTAAAACCTATAAAGAAGCTATGATAGCAAGAGATGTAGCATTCTGGAAGGAGGCAATCAATGAAGAAATTGACTCAATATTATCTAATAATACTTGGGTGTTAGTGGATTTACCTCCCGGTTCAAAACCTATAGGGTGTCAATGGGTATTTCGTAAAAAGTATAATACTGATGGATCAATACAAACTTTTAAGGCTAGATTAGTAGCCAAAGGATTTAGGCAAAAAGAAGGTATTGATTATTTTGACACATATGCACTAGTGGCTAGGATAACATCCATTAGAGTACTATTTGCTCTAGCTTCCATTCATAATCTGATAGTGCATCAAATGGATGTTAAGACAAGCCTTCTTGAACGATGACTTGGATGAAGAAGTATATATGGAACAACCTAAAAGGTTTGTATTGCCTGGAAATGAAAAGAAAGTATGCAAACTAGTTAAATCATTATATGGTTTGAAACAAGCACCAAAACAATGGCATGAAAAATTTAATTATGTTATATTGTCTCATGGATTTAAGCATAATAATGCGGATAAGTGTATTTATTCTAAATTTACAAAAGAATATGGTGTTATCGTATGCTTATATGTGGATGATATGCTTATATTTGGGACAAATATTGATGGTGTGAATGAAACAAAGAAGTACTTATCCTCACAATTTAATATGAAAGATCTAGGAGAGGTAGATACTATCTTGGGAATCAAAGTAAAGAAAATTAGTAGGGGTTATGTTTTGTGTCAATCCCATTATGTTGAGACAATTATAAATAAGAATCAACATTTAGAAATTAAAGAGCTAAGCACCCCATATGAAAATTCACATAAGTTAATGAAAAATTCTAGAAGAGCAATTGCTCAAACCGAGTATGCTAGTGTAATTGGTAGCTTAATGTATGCAATGCATTGCACTAGACCGTACATTTTCTTTGTAGTTTATAAGCTTTCAAGATACACTAGTAGACTCGGTATTGATCATTGGAAAGCAATTTCTAGAGTCCTTAGTTATCTCAAAAGAACTTTGAGTTTAGGACTCGTCTTATGAGGGTTATCCATCGGTGTTAGAGGGATATACCGATGCTAGTTGGATAACAAGTGCTAGAGATAACAAGTCTACGTCCGGTTGGATATTCACTCTTGGTGGAGGAGCTATTTCATGGGCTTCTAAGAAACAGACGTGTATAACTCATTCCACTATGGAATTTGAGTTTGTTGCACTGGTAGCTGTAGGAAAAGAGGCAAAATGGCTAAGGAATTTATTGCTAAAAATAGAGTTGTGGCCACAACCGATGCCGACCATTTCTTTACACTCGCGATAGTGAAGCTACTATGTCTAGGGCTTTTAGCAAGATATACAATGAAAAATCTAGACATATAAGCTTGAGACATGAATATGTCAAACAATTAATTCTTGATGGAATTATCACAATCTTATATGTAAAAACAAGTTACCGATAAGTGAATGTGGAAGTACTAGGATATTTCACTTATGTTACCATTCCAAGTTAACTAGTACTAATAAAGTTTGGAGGATGAGTTATAAACTCTTAATGAGGATTAAGTTATGGAATATGACCAATATATTCAGAACTTAATAGGAACTTCACCTATATAAACATAAGGAGTGGTGTCGCTCCTAGCAAAAGCTCAAGGGTCGACTTTTGAAAATGTTTAGGAAAATCTAGGATGTAGCACATGGCCATATAAGTGCTAAAATATTATTTGAGAATGTCTAAAAGAAGTTGGATTAGATCACGTGTGTGGTATTTCCAGTTTTAATACAAGGGATATTGGTTCAATCGCCTAAGATACCATTTATTCCATTAAGACTTTGAGATATTTACACTAAAAGGAGATTCAAGTCGAAAGACATCTTCCTTTATGTTTGATACTATAAGGACTTAACATTATTATCTAAGTGGGGGATTGTTAGAAATCTTAAGAATGTTAGATAATAAGTTAAGTGTATTGTGAAGGAAATTTGAAAGTTGAAAGTGTTTTCAAGTGGGATTTTATCCTACATTGGAAAGGAATGAAAATAAGAGGCAGCCTTATAAAGTGGGCCTCTAGCAAAACTTTCAAATATTTGATTGGAGGAATTGGAGGGAAAACTAAGATAATTGGTTGGAATTATATATATATATATATATATATATATAATATAATCAAAGACTAGCACTTAGCACTTTACACGTGCGCGTGTGTGATTAAGAAATTTATTTTTATTTCTTAATATAATTAAATTCGTAATTATTTAATTAATTATGTTTTTAAGTTTTTGCACAACTAGTTAGTTATTAACAGACTTTCAAACCTTATGATCGTTAGAATCTAACAGCTTATGTCCGTTAGAGTCCAATGATTATGATCTGTTGGATTATGACTATTAGAATCAACGATCATGTTTGTTATGAAAGGGTATCGGTAGTCTATAAATAAGAGATTACCGCACAAGACGAATTTAATTTACATTCTCTCGCAATCCTACTCTCCTCTTAAAATTCTTTTTCTTTTAAGACTCTACAACTTTAAGAGATATTCTCTTAAAGGAATTTCAGGAGTGCTGTCCGTAGTTCCTTGTGTGCAAAAATTGTATCCTAGAGGTGAATTGCTAAAATTCCTGCAGCATTATAGTGGAAGCAATAATCACCTTAAGGATAGTGTGAGATATTTTCTACACGCAATTAAGCACTACATATTTCGTCCTTCTTCAAGTTCATTTCAACTTTTCAAACACGTTGAAGATTCAGTTCTTCTGGGCTGGCAAAGGATCTCTGTACAATCCACCGGCTATCAACGGACCTCTCATATCAGCTATTTCAGTCACCAAAGGTAGGTAGCAACACTTTCCGCTTTTCTGAGAAAACCCAGAATTCTTATTGCTTGCTGTTTACGAGCTGTTGCTTTCTGCTTCCAAAGTTAGAAAACTAAGTCGTAGGGAAATCGCGGTAATTACAGTAAGCTGTATTTTGTTTCTGCTGCTGCTGTTTGCCTTTATGTGGAGAATCGGCTGGATAGGAGACAGAGAATTACACGGTAAACACTAAGCACAGACAATCTATGAACATAGAATTTGTTATCTGTGGTAATAATTCTTTAAATAATTAAATTAATTCATCTGTTATTCTAATAGAAACAAAAGTGAAGATCGGAGAAAGATCTTTCACCGTTAAACAGATCATTGATGCAACGAAAAATTTTAGCCCCACGAGGGAGCTTGGTAGGGGGCGTTCTGGGATAGTATACAAGGTTAAACTCTTTTCTTGTTTATTAATTTTTGTCTTTGAGGGAATTTTTTTTTATCTTCTTTGATTTTTCTTCATTTTGACATGCCATGAATGCAGGCTGAACTGCCAGATCTGACTCTAGCAGTGAAGAAGCTTGACCCAAAATCAAAAGCAGTCTATGAAATAGCAAGCGAAGTTTATGCAAAGAAGGTCTTGGACTTGAAACATGACAAACTTGTCAAATTGCTTTCTACTTATTCCAAAAAGCGCCTACATTTGCTAATCTACGAACATATGGAACTTGGCTCACTTGGAAAAGTTTTATTTGGTAATTTCCTTCGTCTCTCAGTCTCACTCCCAATTTGGCATTTACAAATTTGGCTAACAATGTTGCTTCTATTCGTGTAGCTAGGATTTCTTTGATATGTTTTATTTTATTAGAGAATATTATAAACTCATATTCTTAGGTCTCATCGTTTTACTTACCAACGTAAACTTTTGAATTGAAATGGATTTTTGAAGATGATAAGAGAGCTTTTTTTCTTTTTCCTTTTTTTCATGTAGATTTTACCTGCTGGGAGTTAAATGGATTGATTGTATCTGCATTTCTTTAGAGATTATCAAGTGATTTAGCTTCCATTATTACTGGATGGTTGAGCTTTTGAAAGATCTATTAGCATTTTTTATCCAAACTACTTAAACTTTATAATGATTCATTTTCAATTTTTTTTTTTTTCCAACTACAACATAAGAGGATATTGAATATTGACTTTGGGATTTGCAGATCCAAATTCTACAGTGCAACTTGAATGGCCAAAAAGATTTACCATCTGCCGGGGTGTAGCAAAGGGTCTGAAGTATCTACATGAAAGGAAACCACAAATAATTCACAGAAACATGAAAACCAATAATATTCTGCTCGATGCAAGTTTTAATCCAAAAATATCTGACTTTGGATTGGGGAAGCTTTACGAGGAGGAAAATCCATATATTGGGATTGAAGCAGGAAAAGATCTGTAAGCAAAAAATTATGTTGCAATTTTCTTTCTTCTAAGAAATTTAGTACTGAAAACAGAACAGATGCAAATCATACTAATAATGCACCTTTTATATTGATCATTGACACCAAGTACAAGAAATTATTAGATATATCAGGAATTGCACTTCCTCTTACATAAACATAGAATCCAACATAAAAATTATTGATGAGTCACTCACATCTTTATGCTAGAGAGAAGAATACAATTTCCCGTATACTTCAGAGACATAAACATCAGGATGTTTTCGACAAAACTGTGTTCCCTGTTAAATCTATTATTTTGTTGCTATTGCAGTTTATACATGTCACCGGAGTACGCAACCAGAAGAGCCATGACAGTTAAAGTCGATGTCTACAGTTTCGGGATCCTTCTTCTTGAGATCGTTAGTGGGAGAAGCAATGCAGATTACAGAGAAAACCAAGAAACGGTTTTTCTTCTAGATACGGTAAGAGCAAGAGAAACGTTTTTCTTTAATTAAACTTTTCTTAACAAAAATATGAACATGTAAACCTATAATGCTTTAAAAATAAACATCCATTTTGAATTAATTTCTGGAATAACGTCTACCATTGATGGATATGATACTTCTACAAATGCAGGCCGGTTATTTACATGCCAAGCAAAGACTTCTTGAATTAGTTGACCCAAGGTTGGTCCTTTATGATTGGGACGAAGCCAACATTTGTTGAACTTGGCCATAAAGTGCACTGATCAATCACCTTCTCTCAGACCTACAATGTCTCAAGTTGTGACTGTACTTGAACGTGAAAAAACACTTGAGGACATTTCTACAGAGATCGCTTCCTCTACATGATTTGGAGTCTGCCAATTTCTCTATATCGCCTCCCAGCATGATCGGGTGTTCAGTATAACTTGTGTGGTTTGCCAATTTCTCTATATCTAAGGATTGTTTGTTGTCATTGGTTTCTTTTTCCTTGATGTCATTCCTCTTTTTTATTTGAATCTTCTCAGCAAAGATCGAAGAAAAAAAAAGTGCGATGTTTTCTTTTTGTAATTTTAGGCCCCGGAGAGCGGAGACCTCGTTTGTGTTATGCCTTCATATATGGATATATTGTTCCATGTTATCAACTATTAGGTGTTATTTGGTAATCGGGAATAGAGTGGTGGAAATAAGAATGAAAGTTTTATTCCCACGTTATAGCTGTTTGGTTAAAAGGAATAAAGTGGGAATGGAAATGAAGAGTAGGAATAGGAATGAAAATTTACACACAACTTCATTGCCACATAACATGTGGGAATAAAAAACAAGGAATGGAAAAGAATTTTTTTTCAAAATAATAATATATTTTATTTATTTATTATCTATTAATTACTTTTGCTCATCATCACCACCACAACTACCATCACCACCATTACATCACCATCATCATAATCACTACCACCACCATTACCACCACCATCACAACTACAACTACCACCACCACCATCACAATCACAACCACCATCGCTACCGCAATCATTACCGCCACCGCCACCACCACAACCACTAGAACCACCACAATCACTACCATCACCTTTATTATTTTTATAACTATTATAGTTTAATAAAATTATTTTTTAATCATTATTTATATTTGTACACAAAATCAGATATTAAAAAATTTAAATTACATTATGATTCTTTATTAGTATTCCAAATACGGTATTGAAATACAAATACCATTCCGATTTCTTAATTTTCATTCCAATTCTTGCATTTCCATTCCCATCACTTTATTCATGATTACTAAATAGCATCTTACTATTTTATGTATGTTTTCCTTCAATTCTGTTTCCAGAAAAACTTAGCATATGCATTTTTCTTGCATTCGTGCATTGGAAAGGATTAGTTAAAAATCATAGCTCATAGTCTCAGTTTGTATCAATCAAGTCTGAAAACTTTGCTTCAATCTTGGTAGACGAAAGTGCCAAAGTAACAAGATATTTGAGTTTTTTAACTAAATAGCATGAATTTGAATCGTATCATCGTATTTATTCTTTTTTATTAAAAGTATAATAATTAAATTTTTTATTAAAATTAAAATAATTAAGCACAAGATAATTATGTACACTTGTAATTTCTAAATCTAAATGACTTTTGCTTGAAAAGCAGCTTAAATTTTTATATTAAAAAATTAAGAATGAAAAACTATGATTCCATAACGTGTGGTGAGATTTCTTCAAATATACATTAATAGATGATTCTGGCACAACGTGACTTGCTGGCAGTTTGAGATAACCTCTGTGCTTTCCATTTTTAACTAGCAAAATAAATCTCACATCGGTAGGGAGCAGGGATGGTAATGGAAGGTTCTAAAAATAATTTATCAAAACTATTTTATTTTTAATCCATAAAATTTAAATTCTTTTTTTTTCATTTTAGTCATTTTTATAAGTTTTTGGTCCTCAAAATTTTTTACAAAAATACCTTGATCCTTAATTTTAAAATTTTATACAATTAGATTCCTATGTGTTTGAAAAAATCAAAAAATTAATATGTAATAATATAATAAAGAGCAAATATCCATACCTTAAAATTATATTAGCTGATAAATATTTTTGTATCTTTATTTGCTTTAATATTATTAGATATTTTTAATTGATATTGATTGAGTCAGATAAAATAAGAACACGTTTTATAATGGGCCCCTTACAATCCCCTACTGCCAACAAAAAATTATACTTTTGAAGTTTCCGGTTCACCATGTATTTATTCTTATCCATTTTAATATCTATTAAATATTTTTAATAAATATTTATTATATCCCATAAAATAAATATTCATTTTACTGCCGCTCTTTGCCAGCCCTAGTGGGAACAGCGATTTATACTTCTGAAGTTGCAATTGCAGCATGCTTTTGTTAATAGTTCAGGACTAGAAATATGAGGGCATTAATCCCTGTGAAGACTTGCCTATTCAGTCAATGTAAGGGTCGCAGACACAAGCATAGTGGACAACCTCAAGGCCCACATAAGGAACGGATGGCTTTAGGTTGATGGGATTTCTCGGTCAAAAGTTTGTAAATTTTAAATCACTCTATTTTAACATAGTTTTATTTATTTTATTTTTTTTTCGTACACCGCTTTCTTCTATTAATAACTGCAAAAAATCGGAGAACCTGCTTGTATTTGTTTTTTTTTCAATTTATCTGGAGAGAGACAACTCAGTAGAATAAAAAATCACTTTACTTAATGGACTCTGTGTTTTTCTAACGTATTTGAAGAGAGACAACTCAGTAGGGTTAAATACATCAACTCTTCAGCTATCTGCCAAAAACGAAAAGTAGCTTTAACAAAGCAACTTTAACTCGGCCGCTTTATTCTGGCACTGATGGCACCAAAATTATTCTAATTTCGGATGTTTAGAATATGGTCTGGCTTCTATTAGAAGTTCTTTACAGTTTTTTTGGTCACTGCTAAGGAAGCTCCACTTGCAGCAAGGTGCATATTTCATTTTCCTGCTTTGATGGCCATCTCTGTCTTTATGGTTCAGGCTATTTAAGTATGCATTCACTTCTAGCATGTTTTATTATTATTATTATTGATAAACTTCTTTGTCCTTTCAGGATTTAAATTTTTGCCCTGAATATTCAAGATCTATTGGCAGCAAACCGTAAGCATTTCTTATCAACATCCTAGTCTTTTTTATCATGATGTTGCTCAATTTCTCTCTCAAGGGGGTTCAAGGTTTTGTGTTGAACGATAGAATCAATTTGTCAACATATATTGTTGCTAAAACCTAACATGAGATCCATTATTCTATTCAAATGTTTTCTTCAAGGACTAGAAAATAGATTTACATGTCGTTAATGAAGATTGTTTGATTTCACAAGGTAAAAGATGGGCATGAAATTTAAAATCAACATGTTATGTAGGACTCATTCAATGTTATGTAGGGCTCATTCGATTTTATCACATTCAGATTTACCATTATAGATGAGTATGGAATAAAAAAAAATTAAAAATAAAATCTTTTACAGGTATAATACAAGAAGATGGTAGTGGCGGAAGCTATGATTCAACAGCTGACACAACAAGTGTTCACAGCTCTGCAAGAACAAGCTAGGTTTGCACTTGACTTCCAAAGTCAGTTCGAAATGATGAAGACGAAGCTAGACCTTACAAAGGCCCTACTTGCTGACACAGAGAACCTCAAGAGCAAGAAGAAAGCTGTCAAGACGATTTTGATTAACTTGAGAGACCTGATTTACGAAGCTGACAACATATTAACAGACTGTCTTGTTAGAGATGAATATCAGAAAGATGGATCCTGCACCAGTTTCACACTTCAGAAGCCAATATTCTTGTATCAAACAGGCAAGAAGTTGAAGGACATTAATGCAAAAATGGAGACGATGGAGAGGTCACTGGCATTGTATTTGAAAGCCCCGGACGAAAGCAACCATGGAGATAACACAAACCAGGTTATGAAATACGCATCACAGGATTGTGTCCCATCTGAGATAATTGGACTTGAAAGGGATCTGGAAAAGTTAAAAGGCTGGATGCTTTACGCAAAAGATGTACTTCTCCGAGTTGGCATCGTAGGGATGGGTGGCCTGGGTAAGACCACAATTGCCCAGAAAATTTTCAATGATATAGAGGTAGCAGGTCATTACGACAAGATGATTTGGGTGTCTGTTTCTCAAGCTTCAAGTGACTTGAGGATCATGAGAAGCATGTTGGAACAATTAGAACTCCATTGCTCTGTGTCAGATGAAGCTCAAATGTTGCACAAACTAAACCAACTACTTAGAGACAAGACATGCCTCATTGTATTGGATGATGTATGGGAAATTAATCAAGAATGGTGGAATCAATTATGCTCGGCGTTACAAAATGCCGTGGGAAAAAGCAACTGCATCATAATCACAACAAGAAAAGAAGATGTCTTAGTGAGTATGGACGTTGACAAGTCACAGGTTCATCAGCCAAAAACTCTAAAAGAAGATGATAGCTGGTTGCTGTTTAGCAAATCTGCGTTTTCCAGGTGCAAGGATAGAAAATGCCCAGATGCTCAATTCGAAAGAGTTGGTAAAGAAATATTGGAGAAATGTGGGGGACTTCCACTGGCAATTAAAGCAATAGCAGCATTATTGGCTTCAAGATCACATTCAATTGTCCAGTGGATTGAAGTTAATGATAATTTTCATGAATTGACGTCCGGAGGAAATTTTAGCTCAGTGATGGCATCCTTGCAACTGAGCTATGATGAACTTCCATCACTGTTAAAACAATGTCTATTGTGTTTCTCCATTTATCCTGAAGATTCGGAGATACAAGCAGAGCAACTGATCAATTGGTGGGTTGGAGAGGGGCTAGTGCAGGGCAAGGGCTGGAAAACAGCAAAAGAAGTGGGTTTTGATTACCTATCTGAGCTAGTTACTAGATGCTTGGTTGAAGCTGTGCATAGGCGAGGATATGATGGAAGAGTCTACTGTTGCAAGATGCATGACATGGTGAGGGAACTGACCACTAAAATAGCAGAGGAAGAGTCATTTGGCGAATTTGATGTAAAAGGCAAGCAGGAAATGACAGCAAATTCTCGTTGGTTGGGTTTTACAAGTGAAATGAACCCAAAATCATTGAGGAAAAGTTCAAAGCTTAGAGCCTTATTGATAATGTCAACCTACAAAGCCGGATTTGATAGGAATATTGGGTCGCTCAGTTCTCTCAGAGTGTTGGATTTCTCCCTGACTAAGTTGGAGAACATTTCTGTGGAGGAACTCATGGATTGGATTTGCTCCCTTAAACGCTTGGCATATTTGAATCTAAATGGAGTTGTAGGCCTCAAAGAACTACCGCCTTCTATCAGGAAACTCCGCAACCTTCAGCTTTTGATTTTAGGCGGATGCAATGACCTCGTCAAACTACATCCTGCAATCACTAATTTGACGAAGCTGATCGTCTTGGATTTAGGATCCTGTCGCCTCCAGCACCTACCTCGAGGAATAGAAAGGCTCTCCTATCTTCAAGAACTGTCTGGATTCAAAGTAGGAGCCAGCAGCAGATCATCACCAAGTTGCAGGTTTTCTGACCTTCAACAGCTTGTCCACCTAAGAGTACTAAGAATGAGTGTCGGTAAGGAGAGCGAAATTGCAGAAAATGATAGGTATGTCCTCTTGAATCTCAACAAGCTTAAAGTTCTAGCCATTGATGCCGAAGATTGTGAAGACAACAGTATCTCAAAGAAACTTGATAGCCTTTCCCCCCTCCAGCTCTCCAGGAGTTGTATATCAGGCGTTATCGCCAAGATACTCTGCCTGCGTGGATCAATCCTGAAAGGCTCTCTAGCTTGCAATACATTTGTATTGAAAATGGGGATATCATTGACTTCCAAACAAGCCCTCAATATGTAGATGGAAGAGTTTTTCCTTGGAACATTGAAGGTCTATGTTTTAAGTTCCTGCAAAATTTAAAACTGGACTGGAAAAGCTTGGAAAAGGATATGCCTTTGTTACAATATGCAGAGGTTAGTGGCTGTCTAAATTTGCAAAACTTTACCCATCCTCTCGACAAGCTGGCTGTCTGGAAGAAGGGTGAAGAGTGAAGATTGAAGACTTGGGGATGGCAAGAAAAGAAAGGATGATCTACTATCCAAAAGCTTTGGGGGATTTATGTGTGTGTTTTATTTACTTGTGTGGCATGAACTCTGTGTGCTGGTTTGTTTGCTTATTTCTTGTTTCTATATGTATCATGATCATAAGCGTGTAATATAAATAAAAAAATATTAAAAAAATAAATTGTAAAAAATGTATTAAAGTTAATAAAATGTAATAAAAAAATTATAAAATTAATTATGATAAAATTTAATTACATGAAGAATAATAGAATAAACAAGTGAATTTTATTTTTAAAATTTGATTATATAAAGAATAAGTAAACAAAAACAAGCTTGAGTGCATGGGCCTACGGAAGGCCTAATGCAAGCTGCTCTCCTGGTGCAGATGCAACCCGAAGACTAATTGTTTTAAAAATACGAGAGATCAAAATAAAATGTAATGAAAAATTTAGAAATTAATATCCAAAAACAATTAAAAAATTACATAAATGTCATTTATATAAACCTGGATAAAATTTATGACTTACTTTTATTTTATTTTATTTTTTACAATCTATTCATTAAAAAAAAAAAAAAACTAATATATAGTTTGTACTGAAATGAATGGTTCATATTATCTTTTTTACCTTTCTTCTAATAAAGTTACTTCTAAAAAATTTGAATTAGAGGTATTTTTACCGTTTGATCTTTCATCAAAATCTCTTATTTATTAAATGTGCGTATTCTTTAGATAAAATACTATCATCCGTTTATATTAAGAAAAATAAATAAAACCTCATGAAAAAAGAGATAAACAGAAACAAGAGGAATCCATGGAAGATGATTCTTCTTCTTCCTTCTCTGCAGAAGAAAACAATAATTTTGACAAAATCGACGAAACCAAAGAGACGAGAGTGAATGGAAACAAAAGCCCAAAAGATTCAACCATTTCTAATACAATAGAGAAAAAAATATTGTGAAGAAAGAAGAAATACAATTGCATTAATTTGGAAGCAATCGCTACATACAAAATATTTGCTATCAAAGGAGGAAGGAATGAGGGGAAAAAGCTGAAGCAAACTTGGGAAAAATGTAAGATAAGAGAAGTACCTTCCCCTGCATTTTGTCCTAGCAGGAGTACTCCTCTTTATCTTGAAAACTATACAATAATCTTCCTTTATCTCAGGCAAGACCTGAAGCTTATCATACACATTGGATCTCATTCCCTGCCATGAGACCTGACTCATAAGAACCATTACTGTATGTTACAGTTTGCAGCCATTAAACTTCTCTATTTGTCCCAAAAACATAAGCTCCTGCAGTAACATCAATTTTAGCATCCCATTAAGAAAAAGAAAAGCAGGCTCAAAGAAATCACTAATCTTACCTAGTGTAGGCATGAGAAAAGACAGTGCTGCAATGCCAGCAATCTTAAGTGGCACTCCTGTCTTGAGCATATCTTTGATCTCAATCTGCCCAGTAGTGAACCCAACGATATTCGAAGGCGTTCCGGTTGGAAGAAGGAAAGCAAATTGTGCTCCGATTGCCCCAGGAACCATAAGGAGAAGAGGATGAACATGCATGGTTTTTGCGATTTCGATCAGTAGAGGAACCACAAGGGTGGTTGTGGAATTGTTCGAAGTGAATTCAGTGATGGTGGCACTGATTAGACACACCATAGGTGCAATGGCCAAATATGGTGCCTCTTCCAAGAAGTCCAATGCCTTCGATAGAACTTCGGCTAGGCCACTGGACTTGACCCCATCAGCAATGGCAAAACCAGCTCCAAGTAGCAACACAATGTTCCACGGTAGTTTCTTGCATTTGTTCCAGTCCATCAATTTCTCCCCTCTCTGCTTCTTGTTCGGAATTATGAACAACAAGGTTGCCATCATAACCTACATAAGAGAAGGGGGGAAAATCACATTGCACCATGCAAACTCCTTATTTGAATGCAACTTAATTAGTAGCTAATCGTGTACAAACTACCGAAAAACCGAAATAAATTCAGTGCTTAATTATACTCACACTGACGGTTCCGTCGCCGGCACGGCCATTGAAGAGAGTTCCCCAACCAGGAATGTCATCAGTTATACTTCTTGTCATCCATAGGACTATTAGCATCTGCACTAACCATCTTACAGTAAGGGCATAGTGAACATAATTAATGCTTTGATTATAGATTAGTAGTATAATTTAAAACACTCACCCCAAAAACAGCTAAAACCATTTTTTCAGCAAAAGCCATTGGACCTGCACACACCACACTTAAAATTAATTCTTGACTAATACCAAAACTCATCAAAATAAGACTAATTGATTATTGCAAGATTAGTTATATAACATTTTGAGAGATATTAAATATACGTGAGAGATATGTGAGCTAATAAAACAATAATACATGTCCTCTTGTATCTATTCAACCGTCGTTTAAAATTGATCAACAAATGAAAAGACTTAACTGTCTATAAAAACAACGAATTGAAATCCAAATTATAATATACAAATGACGAAACAGTAATCCTTACCTAACATTTGAAGCTCTCCTTTAAGGTGGGCTTTGTCCAAATAAGCAGAAAGGATCTGTCCTGAGCCCTTCGAGCAATACAGCAAACAAAGAATGGCCCACAAAGCAAAGAAAATCACCAAAGCTAAAGGAAACCCAAAGAAGAACCAAGTGTTAAAGCTGATGGGATCTGCCTCAGGAAAATAGCTCTTCCACATCCCCACCAATATCAGGTTAACACCTGTACCGGTCAAAGTACTCATCCCTCCTATAGCTGCAGAGTATATAACCCCAAGAACCACTGCTCTACAGAACTTGCCCACAACGTTGGACTGAGTGGGACCCATTGGCAAACGTTGTAAGATACCAGTGGCTACTGGCATCATCATCACGGCCGCTGCCACGTTGTGCATCCACATGCTGACAAATGCCGTGGTGGCACATATCCCAAGGAGGAGCAGTGGTGGATTCAATGGATCTCCACAGAACAGCATAGTGATCTGCATGCCCCACAATTGTGTAAGAAAGAAGTAAACGATCGCAAACAATTCAGAAAGTTCCTCACCTACAGGAAATCTTTTGCTTTTATAATACAACAGGGATGAAGTGGAGGGCAAAAAGAAAAAAAAAAAAAAACAATTTTTTAGGACAACAGAAATAAAAGATTTGCGAGGTGAAGGTATATCTAATTAGTAATACCACTCATATTCAAGCTCCAAAGTTCAGTTTTTACCCTCTTACGAACCAAAAGTTGATTTTCGCAGAAGGAAAATGGATTAAAAGTGTTTTGTATTAGCAAGTTGAAAAGAATCATGATTTCCAATTTTAACTTACATTTAATGCCAATCTTCTATGAATGTTATAATGCTCAACGGCAAGAGCAAGAATGAAGCTGCCAAGAACAAGAGCAATCACGTCATCCATGAAAGATTTTGCAACATCATCAGCAGAAGCAATTCCAAAGAGAGGAAACAAAAAGAGAGGTGTCATGGAGGTGATGGGCATAGGCACAGCCTCGGTGAGCCACCAAGAAAACATCCAAGCAAGAATAGCCAACATGTATATGCTAGTTACTGGCGCATCTAGCTTGACCCAAAGGCATATAATGGTGCACAAAAGGGGTCCTAGCAAGATGTAGAAATTGTTTGGTGTGAGAAGGGAAGTTAGAGATGAATATTGAGAGCTTGGTGATCTTTGAATTGGATCATGGAGTGGAAGAAGTGGTGTCTTGGGGTCATCAGAGATGGGATTAGGGGTGTGATCACTGCTCATTTTGTTGAATTGAAAGTGGTGATGGTGGTGGTTCTGTATGAGAATTGATCAGGCTAGAGAAGAAAGGAAAATGGTAAATGGAAAAGTTCTTTCCTGGCTAGCTATTTTTATAACATCTGAATTTGAGATGGAGGGAATCAGTGGACGAGTTCTCTTTTCTCTTATATTTTTTATTTTGACTTGGATGTTACTAAATTAATATTTATATAATTTGTCACTGCTCAGATGATGATGGTAGTTTACGTATATCCAACATGACAACTGTTAATGACATTGGCAGATAAGAATAAAAGTTAAAAACTTTTTAGTGTTACTCCCAACTATATATGGGGTCTACTCTGCCAACTAATGCTGCTCAATTTAGCAGTATAGCATTAGATTAGCGAAGTTCAACTTTATCCAATTATTTCTCGTTAATTATTTTTATAATTACAGGTTAGATTTTTAAGTTAGATCAATAGTAGATGATGTTTAAATTTTGATCGATTTTAAAAATCGAATTTTTTTAACGCATCAGCAACTTATATCTAGTGTCTTAAGAAAAAAATTAAATAAAAAAAATAATAAAAAGATAAAATAATCACATAGTATAAAATTTATGTTGCTCGATAATAATGCACGTTATACGACTGTATTAGAATTTTATCAAGTAGTGACTCTAAATACAACTGATGTTGTTTTTATTTATAATAAGACTGTCGTGTGAGTAGAGCTCTATATTATATATCTCTATTCATATTAGTTTCTACAACTTAACAATAGCGCTTTCTATTTTAAATGTGAAAATTCAATTCTTCATCTAATGAATTAAACATGGTTTATTTTATCTCTTAATTTTTATAATCTATTTAAAAAAAATTAGATTAGTGTTAGATCATGGCTAATCTTTAATCGATTCTAAAACTTAATTTTTTAAACTTAGTGGCAATTCATATCTAATGCTACATAGGAAAAAATAAAAAGTTTTGTAAAAGTGAAAATCAAATTTTTTTTTCTATTTAATGACTCAAAAACACTTCTTTTTTTTTTTTATCACACTACTTGCAACGTTTGCTAGATATTTTTTCTTTTAATCTAGTAAGGAAAATCTCAATATCATATTTGAAATTGAGGGAAGTATGGGGAAGGGATTTATCACCGAAAGTAAAAGAAAAGGGATGCTTTTGAGTAAATAGTCAAATCTCAAACATTGTAATTAATAACCGAAATGTTTGGTGAAATATTAGTAATGTGATTAGAGGAGCTAGAATTTGCCTCTCCATGTCTTGTGGGTTACTCAACCCAAAGGAAGTTTCTTCCTGAAAATGATGGGTAACCTCATCAATAGCATTATTGATGATTTCATATTGTCTAAAATGACAATCATTAGTCACAAACTATAATGACTTATGACTCGCAACTTCTTATTCTCTTTATAAAATTGCTTTCCCTTCGAGTCGTTTCCACACAAATTGGGTGGCCAATCCCTTCTAAAGAGAAAGCCACATGGATATCAGACAATCCACAAGTTCCTTAATTACCCAACGTAGCCCTTGTCAATTTCTTCAATAATGTAAAGACATGAACATGTCATATGAAAGAGGTGGAAGAGGAAGATAGACATGGTTGTCTGATTTTGAGTGGATGAAGAAAGCTGAGTCACATGTTATATGTGTAGATTCTAAGTATTTTGGAGTATGACGTTTGAATACAGGTGGCACCAATGACATTGTCTAGATAGGGATTAAGTTGTCACGTAAGCCTAATCAGTCCTAATCCTATCGACGATTACGAGATTAATTTATAAGCCTAGGATATATGGTCTTGGTCTTCTTATCATTGTAGCAGCTTGATCAATAAATTATAAATTAATCGTATAATTTTAAAAAATAAATTAATTAATATTTTTATTTAAAAAATTAATTATTTAATTAATATTGATCATGTTTATTTTAATATTATTTTATTTTAAAAATATTTTTTTTTCAATTCTTTCATAATATCTATTATTATTATTAATTAATTAAAAAAGTAAAAAATGAATAAAAATAAATAAATAATAAGTTTTTTTAAAAAAAATGTAATTGATTTATTTTACAAAACTAGTGGAACTAATTTGTAATTTTCTCCAACAGCTTAGATAATTGAAACAGGCCATCTTGAACTTTCAATTCGGACTCTTGAATGAAAAAAAAAAAAAAAAAAAAAACAAAACGGTAATAGATGAGTTTATTTGTCATGTCATCATCTTGAAATTGACATTAAAATAAATAATTGGAAGAAAGGTTTATATATATATATATAAAAGTTTGTATGTCGTGAATTGTTTAATACAAGCGATCTAATCAGTTAAGAAAAAACCTTTTTTTTAATATAAAAAAATTGGTTGCAATATTTTTACCATTGAAACTACAAAATCAGTGCTCTCAATTTTGTTTGTCTCAAAATCACTATTAATTATTTTTTTTTAATTATTTTTTAAATCGCAAATATTATTGTTGAAATACGTATAGATGTAGAGATCTTGAATGTTGGTCAAAACAATTGATTTTTTTTTTCTTATCTTTTAATTATAAGTAACTTATATTTTGCTTTGACCAAAAAGGAAAAGGCAAGACACGTTCTTCGCAATAAAGATATATATAAACATTAAGCAATTCAATTTGTTTTCAAATTTCAGAAAAAAAATATTAGAAAAAACAATCAAAGATGCCAAATTGGCAACCATCACCATAGTCGTTGAGGGTTCATATATAGTGGTTACTACCTCCCCTGCAAGTAGACAAATGAGTAAGTTTTACACCATTTTAGCCCATCTTGACAAGCTCAATAATTTAGGTTTGGTAAGAACAATATGGTCTTTCTATAACAGCCATAATGACCATTCAATGACAGAGTTCCAAAATTATTGCCCCCATGGGGCATAGAATCAAGCAACTTTGTCTTCAATTTTGTAATGGTACACTTGGCAAGAATGTGACAGAGAAAGCAAAAAAAAAAAAAAAAACTAAACTAGTTAGAGACGTGTATGGACTAGGTTAGGATGACCAAGAGCCACAAAGAATGGCCCATGTGGATTCAATAATGTGAAATTGGGGGGCCAAAATGGGGCCCGGATGAATAATTTGAAAGAGACACAGTCCACCTCTACCTCCTCCATCTGCATTTCCCTTGTATCCTTGCATGAGTTCTCTTCAAATTTCTCACATGGGATGGTTTGAAAAGAATGTGAAAAATATGCAAACCCGTATTTTTTGCATAAATGGTATGGAGATTAAAACTCAAGTTCCAATAACAATAAGATATTATTCATTGGAATCATAAAATTTTTCGATTATGATCTTATGTTGAACAATGGATGAGATTTTCTGTCACTTGGTAAAAGGTACATGCATTAGGAATTGGGTAGCCCATAAGGTTCTATGAACAGGAAAAAATCATGGGTTAGGAAAATTAAGGCACTAAGCTCCATCTAAAGTTGATTTTTTTTTTTTTTTAACCTCAACGAATGCTAAATCCATGGCTATCTTTTGAAGCATTTGACAATCAGTTCTTTACCTAGAGAAATCATAATTGTATTTGTTAATCAAAAGCTCAATAGCCTCATATTGTCATTCGTAATCAATATCTCTAGAATTTTTTTATTTTATTTTATTTTTTATTTTTATTTTTTGTGATCCTCTTGTCCTCTAAGCTCCTAAATTGATTTTCAAGGATCATATTGAGCTCAAAAGAAAAGGAAAAAGTAAAAAAAAGACAATAAAATTGTCAGAAAAAGTAGGAACACTAAATCTATGGCTATCTTTAGAAACATTTGACAACCAGTTCTTGGCTAGAGCAATCGTAAGGTGTTAATCAGAGCATAATAGCCTGATCATATTGTCATTCATGATCAATATCTCTAGGGAAAAAAGAAAAGAAAAGAAAAAAGTCGTTATCCTCCGATAAATTTTATAATACATCGGAGTAATTAGTGACATTTATAATAGTTACTTTATGAGTTCACTTTGAAGAGAGAGATAAATACATTAAAAAAATGAAAATTATATCTATATTCATCGAAAGTGATAAGAAGATTTTCACGTCCGCTCAAATTTTTTTATTTTCTCTCTCCTGTTTTTTTTTTTTTTTTTTGTATGTTTATCTTTCTTTTCAAAGTAGATCCATGGAGTAACTACCGTCCATATCACTAGTTACTCCTTGTATATTATAAAATTTTTCTTATCCTCTTTGTACATATGACAAAAAAGAAAAGAAACAATTAATGAAAACTTTTGACGTTGTATCTAATTTACTAATCTAAAAGTAAAGTCATTAAAAATTGAATATGCTTCGGTGCAAACAATTATAAACGCACACCAGATTAGGAGTTAAATTCTCACTTTTGAAAAATTTATTCTACTCTTTTGTTGGACCTTAGAAGTCTGGACATAGACTATTTGCCAGAATTTGATACTTAGAATGGATCAAAAGTTAGACATAATCAGTTGTTGATCTAGTCTAAAAAATAATAGATTTAATCTTATTAAATGTAAAAATTAACACAAAAGAATACTTCATTGCCTAAAAAAAAAAAAAAAAAATCCATCAATTGATCGTCACTCAAACCTTAGTTCTGTGTTCTAATTTTAAGAAATCAATCACTCTCAAGGAATCTTTGTTGGTTTGGAGTTTTAATTGACACATTTTTAAAAGTTATTTTAAATAAGAAAATATTTTTATTTTTATTTTTATTTGAGAGAGAGAGTGATTGGATATATCTTCATTTAAAAAAAAAAATTACTATTTTTCAAATTTTATTTATTTAAATTTAATAAAAAATAATATAAAAATTAAAAAAAAAAGGAGAAAGTATAGATAAAGACCAAAAAAAAAAAAAAAAAAGAGTAAAAACAAACATATGACAAGATTGATTAAGATAGAAACCAAACATAAAGACATGAATTTACGATAAAAATAAATAAATAAACATGATCAAGACAAAAAACAAAAATGTAGAGAACACCCCCAACCATTAAAAAGAAAAAGGACCACAAGAAAAAAGAGATAAAAAGAAAAAGAAAAAAGAAAAGAAAAAGAAAACAAGAATGCTGACTAGGAGCAGAATTGAGAGGAGTTAAAAACAAGTGGGACCGAAATAAATGAAGGAAAATAAAAGAAAAAACAACAAAAAGGGCTAGGGACTGAAGTAAAAAATGCGGATAAATAAGGTATTTATCTAAACTTTGTCTATCATTTAGCCAAACGTACCGTTTTTGCCTATTCTATTTCCTTTCAAGATTATATTTAAATATTTCGAATAAATTATCATATCATGAGATCATTTCGGAATATTTAAATATTTCACACAAATCTAACTACTCTGACTAAATTGATCTCATTAACATTATTATAAAACTCAAGTCATTTGAAGATTTGTACTCAAAAAGTTTCGAATTGTAGAATCGAATTTATTAAAAAATGTAAAATTTTATAATTTATAATCCGAATACAATTAATCGTATTTATAATGTAGAATAGATATACCTAAAAAGAAAAGATTTGTACTCATAAACCGGATATAGTAGTCAGTAGTCCTTTCCAGAATGTAATGGCTAACCGGTTCAAACTTCTCCTCCTCACGTTATATCACATTTCTACGTTCTTCTCTGTTTCTTGGGCTTGATATTACTCAGTATTTTGTGCCCAATGGTATTTTATTGTCACTGGAAACGTGTCTAGCTATTGCGATGTTGGGCTGGTTCTGTTTTACTTTGTGGTGCATCCCTCAGGGTTACGTTTCTGGAATTGGATGAGGGATATCAAATTTGACGGTGTATAGCAGGAAAAAAAGATTTGTTAATTCTGAAAACCCTAAAAACAAAATGATACAATTCTTAAGTATGAAATTTATTAATTAACGACAACTTAGGGCCAAAAGCCTAAAAATTGCTTAAATAGTCCGCTGTAACGAATAAGAATAAAATAACAAGATAATAAATCATCATTAAATCTAGAAATAATCAAAACCTAAAAAAAATGAGGAAAATAATAAATAAAAAAGCTATAATTTCTAAATATGAGTAATCTGGATTTGTTCTGGGAGTCTGGATCACAGCAAAACATGAAAGTGGATTTTTACCTAAAAAAGGACCTTGGAAAAGCTTTAGGGTTTCACCATGGTGTGGTTCTTTGAATAAGCTTAATGAATTCATATGATTGTGTTGCTATCCAACATTGAAAGGAACTCTCAAAAATTAAAAATTTAATAAGCATTTTTTTTGAATTATTTATAACTTCGAAGATGTGAGTTATTATTGATTTTGAGAGTTATCGCATAGTATTGTAGGAACTAGGAACTTAAAATAGTATTGGTTTAGATATTTTATAGTAAAGAGTTGATTGCGTTTTGGGGAAGCTGTCGATCACCAAAAGCATCCTTTATTAAGAAATGTATCATTTTTAGCTTAGTTCCAAAGTTCATCTCCTAAGTTATATTATTCGTGCCAAATTATTTTTTACTTAAACTCCAAGGCTTTTTAGACTAAATTAAGTTTTTAATTTTTATTTGTAACATTGTATTGAATCAATCGTTGAACTCCGTTGTCGAGAGACACATTAGTTCAAATATCGGATCTACTTTAAGTCTCGACATAACCAGGTATGTTGAATAATACCTTAATTGTTAAAATGATTTTTTTTTTAATAATAGTCCCTGTTAGATAGGAGACTTTGTTATAATAATAATAATAATAATTTTTATTTTATTTTATTATTTTTTTCATGTATTTTCTTCTTATTAATATTTTTATTTTTCTACCTAAGGATCTCTTTCCATCTTTTTTTTTTTCATTTTTCCTTGTTCTATTTTCTTTTTATTTTTTCTTTGCCTAAAGTTCTAACTTCTTCCTTTTTTATTTTATTTGATTAATTTTTCTATTGTTTTGGTGTCGTTATTTTTATTTATGATTTGTTGATGAAGAATAGCCATCAGTTTCTAAAGATTGAAAGACTTGACAATTCGTTCACAATTTACTTATTTATTCTAATTCTTAATGCAAAACCTAACTAATTAGGCATTTTAAATTGAATGAATAAAACAATAATTTAAAGAGATGAGATTTAAACTAGGCCTAATAATAATAATAATAATAATAATAATAATAATAATAATAATAATAAGCATATATTAAAAATGAATTTAGACATGGTTCACTAGGGTTTTTTTTTTATTTAAAAAAACCTGAAAATTGAGTGACTAGGCCTTTTGGGCCCACTGGGCTTTCGGCCCATTAGGGAGACATCTTTTTTTCCCTCGCTTTCCTTCCCTCCTCCTTGACTGGACTGGTTCCCGTTTGTTTTGTTTTGTATTTTTTCCGGGCGAGGCTGGACTAGTTCCAGCTCTTTTTTTTTTTTTTTTCCCTTCTTAGTTCCAGCTAGTCTTGTTTTCTTTTTCTTTTTTTCCTGGTAGGCTAGACCCAGCCCATTTCTCTTTTCGGATCTGGCCTAGCCTCCTAAAACTAACCCAATCTAAAACTAGACATCAACCTACCCCGAGGCCTCATCTTCTAAGCCTAGTCCAAGTCTTGCCAAAACAAAGCCTCAACTTAATTCTCTCTCTCTCTCTCTCTCTCTCTTTTTTTTTTTTTTTTGGGCCCGAACAGCTTCTCCTTCTCTCTTCTTCGACTCTCCTCCTCCTTGATATATATTTTCCTTCTGCCTCCCTTTTACCAAAACTAACTACTTCTATTCCCAGTGTCCCACAACTTACCCAAACAACAACTCCTCAAAATAAGTTTTTCTTTCTTTTAGCCTTGTTATCTAATGAATCCTTACAGCAATGTTTACATAAACTATAAAGAGAATGAAAGGAACTGTAGCTGGTAATAAAGTGAAGAACAGAACCAAAAAAAAGAAAGAAAAAAAAGGATAAAATGAAAAGCCTAAAAATTGCTTAAATAGTCTGCTCTATCACACAAGGATTAAATAAAAAGACAATAAATTATCGTTAAATCTAAAAACAATCAAAACCTAAAAAGAAATAAGGAAAAAGATAAATAAAAAAGCTATGATTTGTAAGCAGGATTAATCTGGACTTGTTCGGTGAGTCTGGATCACAAAAAAACATAAAAGTGGATTTTTGAAGTGGATTTTAACCTCAAAACGACCTTGGATAAGCTTTAGTGTTTCGTCATGGTGTGATCCTTCGAATAAGCTTTAAGAATTGATATGATTTGCACGAATCGAAAAACCTAAATAAAAAATTATGGCAATTTAAAGGATTAGTATGTATTTACATTTTAAAGTTGTCTTTTTGGATTTCTGTCTGTCGATATGATCCATGAAATCATCACCTAACCGTCTTAAGTCAAAATGTTAATACTAGTAATCATTTGAGCATTGAGTGTACCAAAATAATCATACAATATAATGATTTTAGATGATTCGGCTTAGCTTATGTCCACAAGTGAATAAGAATTTTTTTATTAATTATAGTTGGAACCAATAAAACTATGAAGAATTCTCAAAACCAAACCTCAATTACCTCTAATCCTTGCAACAACTAATAGCTCACAATAACACACAATTTGACCCTCTAAAAGAATAAAACTCAACACATATTTACAGAGAATATGTCTTCGTTCGAACGGGTAGAGAATTAGTAACAATTCTAGTGCTACAAGGTTTCCAATGCTAGCCAAAACGAATCCTAGTTAAGCCCATAAGAATTCCATTGTAAAATTTTTTATATAATTAGGATTAAAATTGATACCATATCATATTAGTTAAATATAAAAATAGAGATAAACCAATCACTCTTGCAATAGCTTGATAGTTTTGAAAAAATTAATATACTCAAATAGAAAAAAAATTAAAATTTATGTACTTAATTTAGAAAAAATAGAACAGAATTGTAATTTGATATTTAACGCGTAATGGACACGTTATCAATTAATGAAAGAATCAGCTGAAATACTTGATTGACTATTGTGAAAAAATTAATATACTAAAAAAATTAAAATTTATATATTGTATTGAAAAAAAAAGGTTAAAAATTGATGCATTTATAGTGCAATTATCCTATTTGGAAAACATTTTTTTAGGAAATACTTATTTTTAAGGAAATAACCTCCTTAATTCAATTAATAAAAAATAGTTCTACAATTTTCAAGTTCTTAGAATTTTTTTAGGAAATACTTATTTTCTACAAGCTTTCAAAACTATATGTTAGAGTCAAACAAAATTTAAATTTGTTTTACCTCCCTTCATTACTTTATAGCCACAAATTAAATTAAATGGTCAGAGGCTACTCAAAAACAGAAAAAAAAGTGAGAATATATCTCTTTTGTCACAATTAAGCCAAAACTTTAAATGATTGGGCACCTATCAAAGTTATTATTACTAATATTTTACTTTTCTTCGACGGTATTAGCATACGTCATTGTCAAGAAATACTTCTACCTTTTTCTTGTTTTGCACCATATTGGAGTGTTAAGCAGCAGAAGATATGGAATGCAAGAGGTTTAATCTTGGGCTTTAACTGTAAGAACACAGGAAAACCATCATCACCTTGTGGAGACAAAAAAAAAAAAAAAACAAAAAACAAAAGCTTAGATTTCTATCTACTTAATTATATATGTCATATGAATAACAGAGCATGCAATTCACATGAATCACATCTGGATTGCAATTTCCAAAATTGGTCTCTCTAGCCAGGTTCTGATACTCTCCTTGTTCTTTAGCAAAGAACATAAATTTTCAGTTTTTCGCTTTGAGTATGCCTTAAGTATTCTAAACTATGAGGCTTTTAGCCCTCTTTCTCCCTGGTTTGTAGCTTTATGCCTTCTGTTACCAAAACGAAAACAGATAGATTATTGGCAAGACCTTCATCAAGCCACAAATAAACCATCAATCTTGCAACGTCTTGCAGAATTGAGGCGCATGTCTTAAGAAGGCCAATTCCAGGCCACAGGGACACTTTTTTCTTTTTCTAATGAAGACAGACAGTTAATTTTATTGAAAGAAAAATACAAATTTCACACAAGCAAATCCCAAACCAAAATACAACACTGATAAAGGAATGAAATATAGACTCCAAAAACTAGTCTCCAAGTAAAAAAGACTCCCAAACTGGATCCTACAATATTACAAACACACAGAAAAAGAGCAAGAAAATGAGGATAGTAACAAACTACGGCCCACCCTCTGCCTTGGAATTGGTTTTCTGATCACTTGTTACGCACTGCTCGTTTAAACCAAGATGCGCCATGAGAAGACACACACGAGTGAGTAGCTCCCCACCATGTGTAAGTGCTTGACCGTGCTCTCTCCATCCGCATTGAACTGCAGCATAAGTCAGCATCTCCACCCACATTTTACTGATCATCATCCACTTGCGCTCATTTGTCCAACGATTCTGTACCTGATGAGATTGCAATGCCTTGGCGAGCTTGCAAGCATCATGTAGCACTGACACATTGCTTTCTTTCTTTCGAATTAGATCCGAAAAATTTTGTGAATCCCACTTAGTAACAGGAGGGGCAGGTATTACTCTCCAACACCATGAAAATTCAGTGAGTTGAATGCCGGTTTGCTTGTACCTCATTTCACCAATCCCTTTAGGCAGCATATTTGGAAGTTCACATAGAAGATACAACATGTAATTAGATAAGGATCTGCTCAGAGTAAAATTATTGGCATCACCTCTTCTTTTGAGAACATCATCCCGATAACAAATATCAGTGGCAACATGCCATAAAAGGAGGGTTGCATGGAAGTCAAATTCAATCACACTCCAACCAAATTCTGCAAAGCATCCCTCGCTTTTAAGAACCTGATCACCTCTCTCTGCCAATATCTCCTTCAAATCATTCCGGCCAGGATCAGTGTGAGGCATTTGATGACTATATCTCGAACGTTTGTCTTTGAGGTAATCGAAAATCAAGTCTTTCAATTCGAAACTGACAACCTCCCATCCTTGAATGTTATACTTGCCAAGCAACTTCCTAAAAAAATCATCGGCTGTTCGGCTACCTCTCAACTTGGCAAGATAATTTTTGACAGTTGAACACAAACTTCCATTCTTCGTTATTTGAGCATCTGCTAAGTCGTGTTGTGCCATAGATCTTTCCCACCTTTTTTTGTTGAAAAAAATTGAGATACAATAGATAGCACTATAGACAGAATTGGCCCAAGGACTTTTCAGCAAGGTAAGCTGATACATAGCCCAATCAGATAAGAGAAGCATGATGACTGCATATATCTCGAGAACGACACCTCCACCAAGCAAGATGTATGATATAATTACCTCGGTTTCTGGATAGGCCGAACACTTGTTCACGATCATTAAATAGAAGGCGACCAATGCGGAAGTAAAAGATAAGAAGCTGATGGAGCGAAGAATAGAACGCAGTGGACAAATCCTTGTCACCTTTGTAAAAAGAACATCGTACATGAATCCCAGCTCTACTTCTATCACGTTGAAAGCTTCTGTGGCATTCTTGTTAAGCAGGATATGATAGCTGGCCATGTGGCTTGAATGGCTAAGAGCGAGATCTGCAAATAGTATCTTGAACATTTGAAACAACAAATGTGCTTCATGGAGATAAAGAGCCTTAGGTTTTATGCCGTTAAATTTCAAACATTCTTTCAGGGGTCCGATAGACATGTCGAGGAAGTCATGTGATTTTAATTGCTTGTCAAACTTGCCCTGGAAAGTTTCCACTTCTTCATTTTGGGTGGCCCTAAACTTCTTGGAGCTTGCTAGCCAGAGAACCAAAATCCTTTCACCATATTTGATCATTCCAGCAACGAAGATGGGAATGGCTATTAATATGAGTGGATCCTTGCCCCATGATTTGAATAAGGCATAAGAAGCCCAAGTAGTTTGAGTTGCTAGCTGGAGAAGGTGCCTTAACCACAACTCGTTGTCTTCTAGTGCATAAGCAGTAATAGTGTCAGGGCCACCAAGGTGTACAAGGAAGATTGGTGCCCAAAATGCTGGAATCAAGTTTGGATTTGGATTGGTGGGAGTTGTTTGCGAACCAGCACCTTGGCTACGGGAAGCAAGACCCAATGCAAAAATTGCCACCGAATCCGCTGACAAATATGCTGACCAAACAATAATTCCGAGCAGGATTCGAGAGCTGTACTTTCGTCGATTTCCAATGAAGATGAGAAGGATTTGGAGAAAGAGACTTAACAAAATCAGTGATCGAAGCTCCCATCCGCTCCACAATTCTTTTGCACGTTTAGCCAAGTTGTTTATATCCATCTTGTGTCCTTTTGTTCTCCTTCAACCCAAGGTGCTATCAAAAATTTTTCCAAGAATGAAATCAGCTTTAATAAAGATTCCAAACAAACTAGAAACGAAATTTAACTAAGGCAACAATGAACCGAATACTAGTACTAATCACAAAAACAGTACAGATTATTTGAAACAGATCATTATTACTGCATATTATGGAGCTAAACTAATTCATAAATCTTTTCGACATCTTGCAGACATAGTGGTTTTAGTTTCTTCAGCTAATACAACATGCACTAAATTAGAGCATAAACACATTGAAGTTGCTTAGATCTCCTTAAAATTAATTACACTCCAAAAATCATGTGAATTTGAAAACCTATGTATGATAATATAGTTCATGATTTTTTTAGCCAACCAACCACCTTAATAGCCAAAAACCATACCTTGAGATTATATGTGCCAGAGCAATGGTACGTAAGGACTATGCTGCTTCAGTGTGATTTGCAGTCAACGGGGTTGTTCTACAATTGGTGGTTCTAGAAAAGTTGTGTGATGAATTTTGTAATGGTATATAGATACTTTAATTAGGTTGGCACAATTGCTCAAAACATTATCCCAATTAAGTACAAATACTTGATATTGAACTCTTGGAGAACGATGATTACTTACAAGTTACAAAAGAGAGAGGAAATGTTGTTCTTTCAGAATAATTTACTTTCTCTCGTCACAAGGCACAACTTTATGCTGCAGGCATCTAATTAGCCCGTGATTGTCATGGTCATAATTCCGGTTTCGAAGAAAATTCTTCGTACGTACCTTTAATTAGTAAATTGAAGTAAAACATTCTTATTTTTATTTTTATTTTTATTTTTATTTTTTTAATTTGGAACTTGAGTTATTCTAATTTTATCAAAATCATATAACAGCTAATGATTATTTAATCCATTCTCAATAAAAATTAATATGGAAATTAAGAATGTCATGAAATAACGCGAATTATTATGTTGAGTGATAGTTAGATCAACTAATTTCACATGTAAAAAGAAGAAGAAGAACAAGAAGAAGAAGCTAATTTCACATGTATAATTTCAGTTTATTTTTATATTTCACGTAAGATATTTGTTACCACAAATGCTTTGGATTGACGTTAACTATAAGAGGATCTTGATAAGAATGAATGCGGTAACATGCATACCAAATCAAAAAATAACTGTTACGGAAATGAATTTGATAAAATTTTAAAAACATAGAGATAAGGAGTCAATTATTCTGAAAGAACAACATTTCCTCTGTTTTGTAACTTGTATGTAATCATCGTTCTAAGTTTTTGTCTCCGTAGCAATGTTTGATTGTTCTCTTTTCTCAAAAAAATAAGTTATTCCTGAATATGGTATGATAGTGTTAGGAGCTATTTAGCTTTCTCAACTCCAAAAACTAGTTCAATGATTAAGATTTTCTCTCATACTTATAATCAAACACCCAACTGCTTTTACAACCGACATGAGATTAACACAATAATCTCTTTCTATATGCATCGGGTCCTAAATTGATTATTTTTCATCAATTTGTGTGACATTGACACACAAAAAATTATTTAACGTCAGCTTGATGTGTGGAGAGAGAGATTGTTGCGTTATCCTATATTGATTATAAAAAGGATTGAGTATTTAATTATAAATATGAGAAAAAGTCTTACTCCTTAAACTAGTTTTTGGAGTTGAAAAAGCTCAATAGCACCGAATACTATTATCAAAACCCAAGTTAAACAATCATTTGTTGGTGCAACATAAATTAATAAAAAGATGAAAAAGCCAAAGATTGTTGGATTATCCCACATCGATTGTGAAAGAAGTTAGGTGATTAGTTATAAGTTTGAGAAAAAGCTTCATTCCTTAAGCTAGCTTTTAAGATTAAAAAAGGCCAATAGCATCCAATACAAAAAGTTAAGCCGTGGGCTGAAGTTTCATAAAAAGGTTTTATATTACTCTTTTTAACACATAGTGAGATTTAAATTTATGATCATTTAATCATGTCAAAGAACCCTCATGTATGATGCTCAAATGAAGCCCAATTGACTTCCCAAGTGCCAATATTCCAAATAGAGTCATGCTAAAATTTCAATTTTTTTTTTTGATGTACAATAGGCGTAATTTACTGAGACAGTTTTGTATGAAATAATTATTTAACGGAAAATTCTTGTTATATATTGGAATAATAAAAAAAATTAGAGTCATATAATTAATTCCATCAATTTCTTCGATAAAAAATGACGCACAGGTTTGATTGATAAATTATGCAATCTCAAGAAGTTGATTAACGAGGAAAAACAAGACTTTGAGAGTAAATTTAGTGAAAATGATTTACAAACAAACAGTTCATATATTATATATCTATATATAAACGATCATATGTCAAATTTTAAGTAATTGGCTTCCCATTAAAAAAAATAAAAATAAAAATAAAACCTTAGTAGAAAATTTCTATGGAAATTTTGCTTTTATAACATTAATTCTAACTAACACAAATTAGAAACCCTCAAATATATTGTAATTAATCACAAAGCAATATATTAAAAAAAAAAAAAAAAACACAGAGAGAGAGAGAGTTACTTCAATTTATTAATTAAAGGTACCTACCAAGAATTTTCTTCCAAAGCAGGAATTATGACCATGACAATCACGGGCTAATTAGATGCCTGCAGCATAAAGTTTTGCCTTGTGACGAGAGAAAGTTAATTACTGTGAAAGCACAACATTTCCTCTCTTTTGTAACTTGTAAGTAATCATCGTTCTAAGTTAATTTTTGTCTCCATAGAAGTGTTTTACTGTTCTCTTTTCTCAAAAAAAAAAAAAAAAAAAAGTATGTGGAAAAAATGGCAATTACATTGGAACAATAATTTATTACACCTCCACTAATAATATTTTTTGGACTTCATTCGAATAGAAAATATATAATGTTGAAAGCCATTGTGTTTAAGCTGGGAGAAAATTTTCTAAGAACTTGAAAATTGTAGAAATCATTTTTAATAATTGAATTAAGGAAGTTATTTTCTTAAAATTGAGTATTTCCTAAAAGTTGGTTTTGAAATTGTTCAACTTAAAAAACAAGAGGCTTTGTTTTTACTTGGATACTAGCTTTTGGAGTCTATCTTTCATTTTATTTTGAGTGTGGTATTTTGGTATGGGATTTGCTTCTCCGAAATTTTAATTTTCTTTCAATAAAATGAATTTGATGCATCATCGTAAAAAAAAGGAAGAAAAAAAAACGGAAAAGAAGAAGAAGGCATTTGGCCTATAATTGGCCGTTTTAAGACATCTAGCCTCAAATCTCATTACCAAATAATAATAATAATAATAAGGAATTTTAAGCAACATTTTGCAAGATTGATTGGTTTATCTCTATTTTTATTTTTTGGAACGATTATGTTGTGATATGAATTCTAATAAGGACTTGATAATGGAATTCTTATGGGATTAGGATTGGTTTGCCTGCATGGCAAACCTTAAAGGATTGATTTTGTTACTAATCCTCTACCGTGTAAGAGAAATTCACCATGTATCCTAAACAAAATAAAATTAATTTCACATGTATCAGTTCAGGCATTGTTTGGCAATAAAGAATGATAGTGTGTGAATGAGAGTGAAAGTTTTACTTCCATTTTGTAGGCATCTAGTTGAAAAAAATGAAGTAAGAAGGAAAATAAAAATAAATATAGTTTCATTCTCATAGAGGAGTTAAGAATAAGAACAAATAATGGGAATAAGATTTTGTTTTTGCTTTTTTCTTTTTAAAATAGTGATTTATTATTTTTATTTATTATGTATTAACTACTTCCATCATCTCCACCTCTAACTCTACCACCATAGCCATTGCCGGTGGCTATATAAAAAAAAATTATTATTATAATGCCACTACTCCTTTTACATCTCCATCATTCTTTTTTCACTATCACCTTCTATGGTAGTAACATTATATATGTATATATTGCTCCTACTACAACTACACCTCCAACTCCTCCTCTTTCACTATTACTATCACCGCAATCACTTATTTCATTTTTATTATCCATAGTTGATAACATTATTTTTTTAATTATTATTTTATTTATCTTAAAAATTAGATATTAAAAATTTTAAATTTTATTTTAATTTTTTAATATTATCCCAAAAATAGTATTACAATAAAAATATTATTCTGATTTCTTAATTTTTATTATGATTATTGCATTTTCATTTCAATCCTTTTATCATGATAACCAAACAACACCTTAGTTCATTTTTAGTTTTCATGTAAGATATTTATTGTGAACAATGAATTGGATAGATTTACTATAAAACTAAAAGAACTAGACTTTTTGAACAATAATGAACAATTGCGAACATTGTTCATTACTATAAATTTTTTTTTCTTAATTTTCAATTTACTATAAAAGTAAAGGAACTTGACTTTTTGAATAGTAATGAACAATGATGAATAGTGATGAGCATTACTCATTACTATAACTTTTTTTTTTTAATTTTAAAGTTGTTTCCTAAAAGAATTGGACTTTTTTAATAGTGATGAACAATAATGAACAGTGATGAATATTATTCATTACTATGACATTTTTTTATTTATATAATTTTCAAGTTGTTTCATTTTTGTCCTTAAAAATTTAAAATAAAAATTTTAATCCCCTAACCGATGCACTACACACGCCTTTTTTTTCTTTGGTTTTTTTCTTTTCTTTTTTCAATCAATTTATGTTCCTTTTTTTTTTAATTAGGTGTTAAATGTTTGAAAAATTAATTTTTTCATTGCTTTTTTTCATCAATTTACGTTCTTTTTATTTATTTATTTAATTTGATGTTAAGATTTTGAAAAATTAATTGTAACCTCTTTCCACACAAACTAACGATTATATAATATATCTCTTTATATTTTAAAATTAACATATACTTCAACTTATATTACTCTTAATATTTAAACTTCATTCTTTGAATTTATCATCTCTTTTTTTATGAAAATTCTCATCCAATTAATAA